GGTTTGGTGGCAGCAACTTCGGCGGAGGCCGCGGGAGTGGCGGTTACGGCGGCAACGACAAGAGCTACGGACGCGGTCGCGGCCGATTCGACGGCGAGTGTCACTATTGCCACGAGAGCGGACACATGTGGCGCGAGTGCTACAAACTCCCTGATGGTTGGACCCCTGCTCAAGGCCAAGAGGGTAGAGGAGCAGGAGGAGGGAGAGGAAGAGGCCGTGGAGGCCGGGGCGGTCGCGGTGGCGGAGCTGCAAACATGAAGAGCGGAGACAACGACAAGGACCCGAGCAACGATCGGTACCCGGGTCTATTCTACTTCGTGTCGACGCAAGTACCGACTGGTCCAGAGAAGGATGAAGGCTTTGAGGAGCCAGCAGCTGTGGAGAAGGTGACTCTACACCCTCTGGACTATTGGGTGATCGATAGTGGCGCTACCTATAGCATGACACCTCGCCCGGATCTGCTCACCGAACTCGAACCGTCACCGGTGAAGCATGTCACATCAGCTTTGGGGCAGCGAGCGGAGGTGAAAGGCATGGGCAAGGCCATGTTTAAGGGTGCTGATGGGAAGATGGTGGGCCTCAAGAACGTGCTTTGGGTGCCCAGCCTTGCTGCAAACCTGATTTCCGTGCGGCGGTTGGCAAAGGCCGGCATGGACACGAACTCAAAGGGAGCCAAGACCTACACCGCAAGGCTTGGCGATCGGATTCTTTGGGACCTTCATGAGGACAAAGATGTCTACAACGAGATGTGACAGATCCCTGTGGTCCCAATGCCTAAGGAGAGGAAAGTGGCAGCAAGCGTCAGCACCAAAGGTGGAGCGGTTGGTAGCGGCGATTGCGCGAACGGTCGCACTAAGGAGAAGGAGTCCAAGAAGTGCAATCTTGGAGGGACCAGCAAGCTTGGTGAACCTATGGAGAGAGGTGCAGCAGCCAAGGAGCAGCAAAAGGGTGAGGAGAACCCCGAGGCAGCAGCGGAGGAGGACTACGGAGAGAGTATGTGGGGCGCTATTACGAGCGCGACATTCTCCAATCCAACTTCGGCTACGGGGGAGTGTGATTGGCTCACCTTGCATCGGCGCATGGGGCATGTGGCCCTGCCCATCTTGCAGCAGCTAGTAAAGAATGAGATGGTTGCTGGCATACGTGTGAAGGGGGAGCCCGATGAGCTACTTGGCTGCCCGACGTGCATGCAAGCCAAGTTCACCCGTTTCCCATTCTCTAGTTCGGAGGCAACGGCTAAGGCACCACTTGATGAGGTGGTGATGGACGTGGTGGGCCCCCTGAAGCTTGGAGCTGCTCGAGCTGAGTACTTCCTCACTATTGTGGACGTCTACACCCGTATGACTTGAGTGTACGTGCTGGCCAAGAAGAGCGACGTGGCTGAAACGTTGAAGGCGGATTGGTTCCCGATGGTGGAGCGGCAACAAGACCGTCTAGTCAAGTTAATCCGCACCGATCGAGGGGGAGAGTTCCTGAGCAAGGAGTTTGGGTTGTGGCTGAAGAAGAATGGTATTCGGCACTCCCTCACCATGCCATACTCCCCTGCAATGAACGGCATTGCCGAGCGAGCGAACCGCACAATCACGGAGGCGGCACGCGGGTTGCTCATTGAAGCCGGGCTACCCGACTATTTCTGGCCTGATGCGGTGCGGAGCGCGTGTGTGGCCAAGAACCGAGCCTTGACTCATGTGGGAGCAGACAAATGGGTGCCCTATGTGGAGTGGCTAGGAAGGAAGCCAAAGGTGGATATGCTTCGGGTGTTCGGGTGCATCTGCATGGCGCTCGTGCCTAAGCATCTTCGGCACAACAAGCTTGGTGCCAAGGCGGTGTGGGCCGTGCACTTGGGCATGGCTCAAAACCGCAAGGGATGGCTTCTTTGGGACCCATTCACCAAGAAGTTCTTGGTGAGCAGGGACTGCAAGTTCATGGAGAACTTCATGTACAAAGATTGGAAGGCGGAGAATGAGGCGAAGATAGGCGTGCGGTTTGGGGAGGTGAAGAGTTCCGGTTTGGAGCATGTGGAGCTGCCTTTGGAGCTGAGCAGCGGCAGCACAACCACAAGGCAATCCTCCCTTGTGAATGGGGGAGAGGAGGCCAATGATGCAGAGGAAGAAGAGGAGGAGGTGCAGCAAGTGAGCGAGCGTGCACCGTCACTCCCTTCCCGTACTACGAGTGCTCCACGGATTCGAGCCACACCGCAGCAACGCCAAGGCCTTCAAGTCCCTGCAACTGAGGAGGAAGGAAGGGGCAAGAGGAGAGTTCAACCTCCTAATAGGCTGACCTATGATGCGCTGGGAAAGCAGGGCAAGACAGCCCTGGCCGGAGCGGCAATGATGGTCGGAGACGACGAGGAGAGTGACTACGAGGAGTGTGCCTTCACGTTCTTCTCTCCTGTGGAGATGCCGGAAGAACCAGCAACTCTCAAGGAGGCTTTGGGGAGTAGTGATGCTGAGGAGTGGAAGAAGGCCATGGAGAGTGAGCTGAAGAGCATCAAGGAGAATGACACGTTTGAATTGGTGGAGCTACCGGAGGGGCGTACGGCGATAACGTCCAAGTGGCTCTTCAAAATCAAGTCGGATGCCGACGGCAAGATCGAGCGCTACAAGTCTAGGCTTGTAGCCAAGGGGTACCAGCAGAAGGAGAAGGTGGACTTCAAGGAGCTGTTTGCCCCTGTGGTGAAGCCGACGACGCTGCGAACCCTATTCGCGGGAGCCGCCATCAAAGGATGGGTAGTAAAACAAATGGACATCGTAACGGCATTCTTTAACGGCATCCTTGAGGAGGAGATTTTTATGGCACAGCCAGAGGGGTTTGATGATGGTAGTGGTAGAGTGTGGAAGCTGAAGAAGGCCCTCTATGGGCTGAAGCAGGCCCCTAGGCAATGGTACATGAAGCTGCGCGAAGTGTTGGAGGGGATCGGCTTCACTCCCTCAACAGCCGATCACTCCTTGTTCATGCTTGGCGACGGGGAGCAGAGGAGCTTCATGGTGGTTTATGTGGATGACATTCTTATATTCTCACCCTCCTCTGACCTTGTGATGGAGGTGATGCTGAAGCTGCATGACAAGTTCAAGTGCAAATCCCTTGGTGACGTGAACTTCTACCTTGGGCTCCACTTCGAACGAGGCGTGGAGAAGCGGAGCATGCGAGTGCACCAACGGAAGTACCTGGAGGCGTTGGCGGCCAACTTCGGCCAGAGTGAAGGTCATGTGGCTACTCCCTTTCCCTCTGGGTTCAAGTGTGTGAAGGGACCAGAGGAGGAGAGCGTTTGTGAAGAGGAGAGGCGCCGTTTTCACTCGTTGGTGGGCAGCCTCATGTATGCGGCGGTAAACACCCAACTGGACGTCGCGTTTGCTACCGGGCAGCTGGCTAGGGTTGTGCAATGCCCTAATGAGGAGCAGGTAGCAGCTGGAATGAGGGTGGCCAAGTATCTTGGCCAAACACCGACCGTTGGGCTGCAATACTCGGCGGCGGCACAAAGGCGCCAAAAGGGCGCGGATGGTGTTGAACCCGGGCGTTTGTTCCTCACCGCCTACTCGGATGCGTCATATGCATCGGAACCAGAGGACATGACAAGTGTGGGAGGCTTTATATGCTGTGTTGGTGGAGGCCCAACTGCTTGGGAGAGCAAGAAGCAGGTTGACCAAGCTTTGAGCTCGGTGGAGTCCGAGTACATGGCACTCTTCTGTGCCGTACGGGAGATTGTGTGGCAGCGGCGTTTGTTGGCTGAATTGGGGGAGGAGCAGCAAGGACCTACCCCACTCTACTGTGACAGCCAGGGTGCCATTGCTCTTGCTAAGAACCCTGTGTTGCATGGACTCACAAAGCACATGAGGGTGAAGTGGCATTGGACGAGGAGCATGGTGACCGCGGGTGAAGTTGAGTTGCGGTACGTGAAGACCACGGGGCAGCCGGCTGACATGATGACTAAGAGGCTGGTGGAGCAGCAGCATTGGAAGTGTTGCAAGCTGGCTGGGATGGCTCTGAACTGAGAGAGCAACATATCCTAAGGCCAACAATCCGAGGGGGAGTTTGTTGGTGCAACCCTACGGTTTGCACTCGGCTTGTTGTCCGTGTGCGTGCATGTGTGTGTGTATGGAATGGTATGAGGGCATGGGATAATATATATTTCATGCTTAAAATTGTGTGTGAATGTTGAGTCATGATGTCGAGTGTGTGTGTCGAGTCAATAGCGAGTTATCGCTAGACGCGTGTTACGCGCTCGTTTGTGTCTCGCGCGCGGTTTCTATTTTTGTCGTGCGCGGTTTCTATTTTGTCCTGTGTCGAACGTTTGGTGTGTCGCAGGTGTGTGCAGCAGACCCATCAAGAACTCAAGGATGAGTTTGTGATGAAGAGCCCGAGCCTTGGTGTCAAGCCTTAAGTGATTTCGAAGCTCGCCAAAAGGGTACACCTCAAGATATTGAAGATAGTTACATTACTTTGTGTAGTGTAACATTTCACTCGGTGTAGGCTCTAGTGAAGGGTAGTTTCGAGACCCTTCGTGGTTGGGGACAGTGTGGCACTGTTCCACATCACTATACCTCGGCTCTTGGGGTTTGTAGGAGCTGGGAGTCATTCCCAACTCGTAACTCTCCATATCTCTTCCTATTTTGTGTTCTAAGACTATAGTGGCTGTCATAGTGCCGTTCGTTCAAACCAACACTGTGTCGTCAATACTTGGTGAAACTGTGCGATCTAAATTGCCTATTGTATGCGACGTTCAGACGCTCCAGATCCAAGTTGAATCAGGTCATTTGAAGTTGTGACCAGAACGCTATGAACGTTTGAAGCCGCTGTGCAGAAATCCGGCTGTGCACACTATCTTTCGTTTTAGGCACATTGGAGCCTATTGTGACTATAACAGTTGGCGACCACCTTCGTCGGCCGCCGAGGCTCGGCGCCGTCCGCCAACTTCCCTTCTTTAGCTAGCATCTGGTCGGCTTTGCTGTGGTCAGCTTCGCGGAAGTCGGCTTTACCATTGTCAGATTCGCCGAAGTCGACTAACCAAACCCGCCGACTTCCTCCTCCAAGCCGGCGCCGTCCACGAAGCTTTGCCGGCTGCACACGTTGCGCTCTAGACAACGAAGTTGACTTCACCCAAGCAAGGATGGGGTCTTTTCTTGTAACAACAGGTTGGGTGTGTAAAGTCCGAAGGCAACGAGGGGTAGCATCGAAATGCAAGGTCCTTGGGACAAGCCTATCATTTCAAAAATTGGTATTGCATGCAATGTAGCGTAAATGATGGAAACTCTTTGCATTTCCTTTCCTTCTATAGAAGGCGATCCACGTCATCTAGGACGCATCTGTGGAATAAATATTGACAGAGCACCTACTTTTGTGCCATTCGTGACACCTTTGCTTTGCAACTCTTTTTTGGAAACCAAGCAGCAACAAATAATTTATCTCGCTAGCTATGGATGAGTTTCGCAACACCCTGAGGTGAGCTTATTGACCAACTTTCAAACGCACCACACACTGACGTGCCATTAATCCACGGCGTTGTCCAGAACCTATTCGTGATAGCAGTATGTACAGATGACGTGGGAATATACGCTCCGATCGACGGCCTGTCGCTTGCAATAGCAACAATCTGGTTATGAACAGCCGTCGCCACTCCCATCACAGCCTCCCTTTCGCCCGCCGTGCAACTGACACTCAACGCAGGCGGTTTCTCAGCGGCTAAGCTCACTCTTTTGAACTTAATGAACTGGAAGGCACCCGTGGGTTGCGTGTTGATAACCTCCCTCACGCAGTTAGCGGCATATGATGTGTTGTCCTTAGGTAACTGGTTGCCCAGCATGGCTGCTATGTAGTCGAAGAGAGTGTGGAAGATGAAAACGGGCGTGGCGACGCTTCGGAGGGTGTACTGTGGGAAGAAGCACTTCCATTGCTGGGCAGAGTTGGTTGCTGGTGGAGAGAGGGGGAGGGAGGATGGGGGAGAATGGGTCGAAGAAGGGGAGATAGGCTGAGCAAGGTGAGATTGTGAGTGCTTAGGCGATGGTGCGTAGAGTGTACTGTGAAAACAAGTATTTCACTGCTGTAGAGTGAGGGAGGGGAGCATGGGGGGGCATGGGTTGGGTCGACGGAAGGGAGATGGGTTGAAGAAGGTGAGGTTGTGGGCGCAGAGGCGAATAAGCACTGTCAGGGCAAGCGTGCTTTGCTGCTTGAGTATCTGGTGAGATGGAGGAAAGAGTGTGAGGACGGACGGAGAGGGAGAGAGAGGAGGGCGAGAGAGGGGGAGAAAAGGGGGGGATTGAGAAGAGAGAAGAAAAGGAGCTAATCTTACACCCTTAGAAGCGGGAGTGGAATGAGAGACAAGTATGTGTTTTGATTTGCAGCAACACGGGGCAATCATACAGCAGTGCAGGCAGCACCACGAGCGGCCACCACCACCACCACAATTCAACGTTTGACGCACCAAAGGCACAGTATGGGTTGTGAGGCCGGTGCAGTGCGGTGATGCTCTGAGCCAGCGATCTGAAGCCATGCTTGCCATACCGGTCCTTGGCATCTGAAGGGATGACATGGATGGGGTAGTGCAGGACAGGGAGGGGATATGCATGATGAGTGCATGATGAGTGCATGATGAGTGCATGATGAGTGCATGATGAGTGCATGATGAGTGCATGATGAGTGCATGATGAATGCATGATGAGTGCATGATGAGTGCATGATGAGTGCATGATGAGTGCATGATGAATGCACGATGAATGCATGATGGGGAATGCGTGACGAGGGGTTGCATGGATAGGGTAGGGGGACGGATGCAACGCCAGTGGGTTGGTTGCATGGCTTCGAGGTACTGTGCTGCTCAGTGGAAGGGAGAAACGGTGGAGAATGTGCTATGTTAGGGATGCTTAGAACACATACTTAAGTATGTATCCATTCCATCTGTTAGGGTTGTTAGGCCCATCCTGTCCCGCCCCACACTGGTGGGGCTGTTAGGGAGGCTCATACTGCACCCACACACACAGTGCTCCTCGTACCTGCTGCATGCCACTACCATGACCCACGGGAAAGCTCTGTGTTAAGTTGTTGCTGCTGCTGTTATCATCAACAAGCAGGCAGTGATGGGCACCTGAACTGAACCCACTCTAACCAGCCTGAACCCACCCCGAATCCACTCTGAACCCACCTGGGTTCATTCTGCGTGCACCCATCAGATCAGACCAGACCAGCTTACCATACCATCACAGGTTCAATATGTGGTGCAACACAGGTGGTGACGTTGCTCACAATATGTGCATGAATCTCATCTCACATCTCTACGCACATTAGGCAGGCAGATAGGGGCATGCATGCAGACTGGACCATTGAGAGTTCTCAAGAGTGACACCTACGCACAAAGAGCCTGGTAGGCGTATGCATGCATGCATGCAGACAGACTACACCTGTGAGAACTCCCACAAGCGGGCTGATGATAGGTGCTGTGCAACCTGCTTTTGAGAATTCTCAAAAAGCGACTCAGGCGCAGCCTGCACCCACCCATGAAGAAGCCTTTTGAGGTGCCTCAAAAGGGCTGATAGGTGCGTGCAACCTGCTTCTGAGAATTCTCAACAAGCGACTCACATGCAGCCTGCACCCACCCATGAAGAAGCCTGAGTCCACCAGGCATCGCGTTGTGGCGTTTGGGAAGCTCGCTGCCAGCCAATCACAGAGGTTCACGACCGCCTGCCCGCCAGCCGAGCTGCCCGAAAGGAGAATGTGGGACGGCGAATCCATCCCGCGATTGGCACGGAGATCTGCGAGGCCGGGCGAGGGGCGTTGGTGGAGAGGGAGGAGGGGGTGCGTAATGGGGCTTTCACATTTAAGACTTCTCAATTCGGGCGGCTATTGGCGGCCACTTCTGAGGGTTCTCATAAGTTGCTCTTGAAAAGAGATGGCTGCTGGGTTATGGATGGGGCAGGATTGGAAGCGAGGAGGAAGAAGCAGCCGATGAGCCATGTCGCAGCCATGCTCTATTAGATCTTGAAGCATTTCTCGAAACGGGTGATGGTGGAAAGAAGCCTTTGGAGGTAAGGGGGTAAGCGGGCGAGGAAAAGGGGAGGAGAAGCAAGTGGTAGGGGAAATAGGGAGAAAGAGGCAATTTTTTCCTCCCACATTGCACCGTTCTCCTCCCACCTTGCACCACAGCTCGGAAGACGTTCCACCCATCATCAAGGTAGATGCTCATGCTGTCAGTGAGCTTGACGCGCCCCTTTGAGTCGACTCAAAAGTCAGCTCCACCTACCTTGCACCACGGCGCGAAAGACATTCCATCCGTCGAGGTAGATGCTGGTGCCGTCAGCCAGCTTGACGCGGCCTTTGGTGCTGGCATACCCCCCGCCATCGCAGTAGAGCACGCGCACCAGGTTCCACTCGTGCACTGCCGGGTTGGCACTGGCGTTGGCGCTCAGAATGGCGTCGTACCCGGGCTTCATCCATGGCACCTGGGAAGGGCGCGTGGGGAGCAGGGAGGAGAGCGGAGGGTGGAGAGAGAGGCAAGGAGAGGGGAGAGTGAGGGGGAGATGGGATGGGAGGGGATGGGAGACAAAGAATTCAGCACTGGCGTTGGCGCTCAGAATGGCGGGGCGCGCAGCAAGACGTACCCGGGCTTCATCCATGGGACTTGGGAGGGAGGGAGGGAATCTTTAAACAGAGAGGAGAGAGGGAAGAGAGAGGTTGGGGGAGTCAGAGGCGTCAGCACTGGCGCTTGCGAACGGCGGCTTGGCGGATATCTTTCGTGGCACTCCCACCTGCGCAGCACTCCCACCTGCGCAGCACTCCCACCTGCGCAGCACTCCCACCTGCGCAGCACTCCCACCTGCGCAGCACTCCCACCTGCGCAGCACTCCCACCTGCGCAGCACTCCCACCTGCGCAGCACTCCCACCTGCGCAGCACTCCCACCTGCGCAGCACTCCCACCTGCGCAGCACTCCCACCTGCGCAGCACTCCCACCTGCGCAGCACTCCCACCTGCGCAGCACTCCCACCTGCGCAGCACTCCCACCTGCGCAGCACTCCCACCTGCGCAGCACTCCCACCTGCGCAGCACTCCCACCCGCGCCGCGCAGCACCCTCACCCGCGCAGCACTCTCATCCGCGCAGCACCCACATCCGCGAAGCACTCACTCACATCCGCATAGGCGGAGGCGGAGGGATCAGCGGGGTACATGCGCGAGCTGCCCAGGTACGTCTTGCTGCGCGCAACGCACTCCGCGCGCGTGGCGCACCACCCGCCCCCCGCCAGGAACACGTGCCATTTGCGCCGCCCCTCGCCCACGCCCGCGCGGAAATAGTACCCCGGGGGACTGGCGGGGGAGGGGGAGAGGCGGCGGAAAGGGGGAAGAAGGGGAGAGGGGGGGGCGGGTGTGGGGTGGGGGGAAAAGGGGGGAAGTGGGGGCAGAGAAGCAGGCGGTCAGGAATGGAGGAAATTAGGAATGCGGAACCGGAGGGAGGGTGGGCGGAGGCCGCGGGCGCGCGGGGACCAGAGCAGCGATGAGCAGAGAGGGGGAGGGTGAAGTGGGGAAGAGGGGGAGGGTGAAGGGGGGAAGGTGGGGGAAGAGATTGGGGGGAGTGGGGGAGGGGAGGGTGGGGAAGTGGGGGAGGGGAGAGATCAAGACGCATGTGACAAAGAGGGAGGGGATTTGTGACGCATGTGAGACCTACCGAAGCAGATTCTGGGGGACGGTGAGTGCCACTGAGGGACGGTGAGTGCCACTGAGGGACGGTGAGTGCCACTGAGGGACGGTGAGTGCCACTGAGGGACGGTGAGTGCCACTGAGGGACGGTGAGGGACGGTGAGGAACGGCCCAGCCGCATGACCTCATTCAATGCCGCCGCGTCAGCGGCGGGTTCCTACGTTGACTGACAACTACTACCTGCCGTCGAGGCATTTGGCGCCGTAGGGGTTGTCGGGCAGCAGAACGAGGGTCGTGTTAAGTCGAGTTTTGAGTTGACGTTCCCTACGTTTGAGTCGACTCAAAACTCGACTTTCCCTACGTTGACTGACCATCACTACCTGCCGTCGAGGCACTTGGCGCCGTAAGGGTTGTCGCGCAGAAGCACGAGGGTCGTGTTACGAGGCGGCGGCGTCGGCGCTGGCGTGGCGGTGAAAGGGACCTCCTTTCCTAGATGTGCGCGCGCTTCCTGACGGTCAGCCGTTTGACTCGTTGCTGCTGCTGCTGCTGTCGCCCGTGTCGCCGTGCCTGATGCGTTTGTTTCTGCTTCTGTATCTGCGTCTGTTGCTCCAGCTGTATAACCGGGTCGGGCGGTAAGCGCTAGTAGGGAACATAGTACGACGAGCGGGAGGAACGGGAGGTGAATCGGGGGAGCGAGGCGGCGCGACGGTGCGGCCGAATGCGACACCGTCGGCATCGTCTTCAAGCCTTAAAGGCTGTTAAATATGATTGAACCCGCTAGCGTAGAAGGTTGCTGATCTTAGTGATGGTGGAGAGGAGGGGCTGCGGAACATGCGCTACAGTACCGACAAAGCTAGTAGACTTAAAGCGCTACAGTACGGCGAATCACTCAATGGTGCCGAGTCGCAGGAGGAGACACGAATGCCGCGGTACAGTACGGACAGATCTTATACTCTAAAACGTGCGGCGCCGCAAGCTCTCCGATGGACTGCGGAGGGTAGCAACGGGCAAAGGCGGCTCGGCTGTTGCTCCTCGCGGCGTCTGCTGTTGCGCTTTGTTTGCTGCACTGCAGGGGTATTTGGCAAGGCTGAACTTTCGTAATTTCCGAACGTCGGTCGGCCCAGAAAATCTGAGAATGGAATCGCCATGACGAACTCGTCGTGTCATGTGACATGTCTTCACGGGCCGTGGGTGGTTGGGATTGAGGAAAGCGACTACGTACACAGTGTACTGTATTTCCAGCGCAGCACATGCTGCTAGGTGTGCTGCGTTGCTTGCATTGCGATGCGATGCGATGCGCCTTGCATCTCTCAGAAGCTCAGAGCGGGTGGCACCAGCATGACAAGAAGAAGGGTGAGGCCAGTGGTGGCGAGCCGCGGGAAAGTACAGAGAAGAATGGTGACAAGGCGATGCCTTACGTTTCGGGCAACCCACAATTCACCGCTTGAATTCCGACGACTGAACTTGGGTTGGTGGCCTCGTCTGTTTGAAGCTCGCTTTTAGTTGGTGGGCCAAAGTTAGCGTCGTGCGCATCACCAATACACACCAGTCGTTACACATTTGTTAACGATCATGTCCCATAAAGACACTTGATCTTTCAATATGCATCTGCATGCTATCATGAATTTCAGATGTGACAACACTGCAAGTAAACGTAGCTGATTCACTTGTAAACCCATCCCACTCCATTTTGACTAATACAGTATCATAATTCCAGGATTAATAGATATAAACATGTATGCACAGATGCACTGACGACGAGTGAGAGTGTTCCGCTCCGCAGCGGCACTGTCATTCAAAAGGGAATGGCAAACACCAACTAACGCAAGCGCACAACAAATCACTCCCTCGATCGGTCACCCTCCCTTTGCACTGGCACAGGCTTGAAAAGCAGACCCCCCTCCATGCCGTCCCCACCAGCACCCCCTGCAGCGGTGTCATCGAAGCGCAGCAGCACATCCAGCTCGCTCCGCGCTGCTGCAGCTGCTGACACGCCCAGCAGCAATGACGGCACCAGGTACAGCAGGGCCGGCTGCGCTGCTCCTGTCACTGTGTTCACTCCTGTGGGTGGGACGGAGCGGGGATGGGATTGGAGGGAGGAACGGAAGGTGTGGGAGCATGTACCAGGTAAGCAGGGCCGATTCACTTTTTGAGTCGATTCACTTTTTGAGTCGATTCACTTTTTGAGTCGACTCACTTTTTGAGTCGACTCACTTTTTGAGTCGACTCACTTTTTAAGTGCTGGCCCAACGCCGCTCAAGACACACCCCCGCCGCTCAAGACACACCCCCGCCGCTCAAGACACACCCCCGCTGCTCAAGACACACCCCCGCAGCGTACCAATGGTGATTGCGAGGCCAGCGAGGTAGGAAGCAACAGAGATGAGGAAGTACGTTTTGTCCTCCAGCCCTGCAGCACCGTCCCCCACCGCTGCCACAACCATCCCCTGCTGCTTGCCCTCCGCCCCTTTGCTGCTGCTGCTGCTGCTTCCGATGCCGCTGCTGCTAGCCTCGCCCTGCGTTGTTGAATCCTTGGTGGGAGTGTCTGCTGCAGAAGCAGCGGCGGCGGCAGCTGCAGAGGAGGAGGAGCGGTGCGAGTCGAATCGGAGCATGAGTGCCATGAGCAGGCCCGGCGCTGCGACGTCTCCCAGGCCTAGAATGGAGTAGGGTGATGCAGCATCAACCTGGGGGTGAAGGGAGAGGGAGGGGAGGGGGAGGGAGGGGGAGGGAGGGAGGGAGGGAGGGAGGGAGGGAGGGAGGGAGGGAGGGAGGGAGGGAGGGAGGGAGGGAGGGAGGGAGGGAGGGAGGGAGGGAGGGAAGAAGGGAGGGAGGGAGGGAGGGAGGAGATGAAGGACGTAGCGAGTGGGCATGAGAACAGGATTGGAATCCAAGAAAACGGACAATTGGGAAGTAATTATGGCACTGTATGGGGTGGGGTGGCATGGCATGGAATGGCGTAACATGGCATGGCATGGCATGGTATGGTATAGCGTAACATGGCATGGCATGGTATGGTATGGTATGGTATGGTATGGTATGGTATGGCGTAACATGGCATGGCATGGTATCGCGCACAGCACTGTCAGCCCATCCATTCGACCAAGGATACACATGGAACAGTGCACGCCATGCCATGGTATAGTCCAGCCAGGCATACGCACCGTCCAGCCAGGCATACGCACCGTCCAGCCAGGCATACGCACCGTCCAGCCAGGCATACGCACCGTCCAGCCAGGCATACGCACCGTCCATCGAGGGAAGACGAGCTTCATGGGGCCCACTAAGGCGTCCGATGTGGCCACCTGCACGTGACCAGGCACGGCGGTGGGGGGAGGGAAAGGGGTGACTTTTGAGTCGACTCAAAAGCCACCAAGTAGCTTCATGGGGCCCACTAGGGCGTCCGATGTGGCCACCTGCACGTGACCAGGCACGGCACGGCACGGCAAGTCAAGTCAAGCGGCGGCATAGGGACGAATGTATGTGCCTGCAGGTTATGGGAATGGAATGGGCTTGTGCCTGCATGCAGAGGGACGTTTAAGGACTGTCAAACATACAGGTGTGTGCATGCAAAGGGCCCAGAATGGTATGGTTTGAGAGTGGGTATTATAAGGATTATATAACAACACACGTGGGTGCCCATGGCAGCAGCATACCGTGACCATAGCGTTGTCTCGAAGATGGGCAAGGAGCCAAACACCCAGAAGGCATTGGCTTCTGAATGAGCACATGGGTATTTTACAACACACGTGGGGTGGCAGTGTGCCAGCAGCATACCGTGACCATGACGTTGTCGCCAAAGATGGGCGAGGAGCCAAACACCCAGAAGGCATTGGCTTCTGAATGAGCACATGGGTATTTTACAACACACGTGGGGTGGCAGTGTGCCAGCAGCATACCGTGACCATGACGTTGTCGCCAAAGATGGGCGAGGAGCCAAACACCCAGAAGGCATTGGCTTCTGAATGAGCACATGGGTATTTTACAACACACGTGGGGTGGCAGTGTGCCAGCAGCATACCGTGACCATGACGTTGTCGCCAAAGATGGGCGAGGAGCCAAACACCCAGAACACGTCGTACAGCAGTAGCCCCACCAGCACTGCTGACGCCACCGCGAAGCTGATGGGGGGGAGGGAGGAGTGGGCGAGAGGGAGTTGTAGGGGGTGAGTGATGGGGAGGAGGAGCATGGGGGGAAGGTAGGAGGGAAGGCGCCAAAGATGGGCGAGGAGCCAAACACCCAGAGCACATCATACAGCGGTAGCCCCGCCCCACCAGTACTGCTGATGCCGCCGCGAAATTGACGGTAATAGTGAGGAAGGGGCGAGAGGGAGTGGTATGGGGCAGAGTGACGAAGCGGCGCATGGAAAGGCGCATGGAAAGGCGCATGGAAAGGCGCATGGAAAGGCGCATGGAAAGGCGTATGGAAAGGCGCATGGAAAGGCGCATCCACGTTCCTCATTCGCCCCCCTTTCCTCCCCCCCGCCCCACCTCCCTCCCCTCCCCTCCCTCCCCTCCCCTCCCCTCCCCCCCCTCCCTCCCTCACCCCTACAAACCATGCATCTCCGCAAATCTGAGGGCAATGGTCGTACCTGCGGAGGGAGAGCATCTGCAGCACCTCAGAGACAATGCAGACGGCCACAATGTTGCCCAGGGAGAAGGGCGCCGAGGGCTGCATTGATGCCACCGCCATCGCCATGCCCACTGGTGGGGGGGGAGGAAGGGGGGGGTGGGGGTAGGAGAGGGGGGGCGCACGCAGGGGAGCGTAGGGCAGGGGATGGGGGGTGTATAAGGGATAGAAGGGACAGAGGGGATGATGCAGACGGCCACGATGTTGCCCAGGGAGAAGGGCGCCGAGGGTTGCACTGATGCCACCGCCATCGCCATGCCCACTGGTGGGGGAGGCGGGGCGCATGGTGCGGAGGGGAGAGTGAAGAGGATGGTTGAGTTCAGAAAAGGAACAGTTAAGATGCATGGCTGAGTTGAGAGGGGATAGTTGCGGACATAGAGGGTGACTGGAAAAGGGAACGGAAGGAAGTTTATGCCACTGCCAGCAGGCGTGGCCACTGGTAGGCTCACATGCGGGCGATGAAAATGCGATTGCAGAGTGAGTGAGGAGAGGACAGAAGAGGAGAGGAGAGGAGAGCAGCAACTGAACAAGCGCAGCAGCGGTGGGAAATCAGGAGGGGTGGGTTGAGGAAGATATGGAGGAAAGAACGCGGGGCAAGAGGACAGGAGGAGGGGAGAATGGGGGCTAGAGGACGGGAGGACGGGAGGACGGGAGGAGGGGAGGACGGGAAGACGGGATGGGAGGACGGGACAGAACAATGCAGTCGACAGGCAATAAATGCTACATCATTTAACAGCACACGCATCCCACACCATGCCGTGCCATGCCATGCCATTACATCCCATCCCATCCCGTCCCATCCCATGCCATCCCATCCCATCCCATCCCGTCCCATCCCATGCCATCCCATCCCATCCCGTCCCGTCCCGTCCCATCCCATCCCATCCCATCCCATCCCATCCCATCCCATCCCACCCCACCCCACCCAACCCCCAAGCACTGAGTCCCCTCACAGCCCCTGTGAGAGGGCCCGGTGTGACTCACGGGCAGCAGAGAGCACGTCGGTTGCAGAGAGGGTGAGCACTGCTGGTGCAGGTGGGGACGAGGAGGAGGAGGGGGTGGAGGAGGAAGAGGAGGAGGTGGAGGAGGAGGAGGGGGTAGAGGAGGGAGAGGAGGAGGAGGAGGAGGAGCAGGAGGAGGAGGAGGAGGAGGAGGAGGAGGAGGAGGAGGAGGAGGAGGAGGAGGAGGAGGAGGAGGAGGAGGAAGAGGAGGAGCTCTCTAATAGCCACGAGGGGATGTCTGGAGGTTTGGGGCAACAAGGGCACAGGGGGAGAGAGAAGAGAAGGAGATTAAGATGGGAAAGGTGGGAAATGATGCGAGAGAAGGTGAAGGAACTGGAAGTGGAAAGGAGAGGAGTTGCAGGTTAGGAGGAAGGAATGGAAAGGGAGCGGAGGAGAGGGGTGGGTGGGGAAGGGCGAGTGGTGCAGGAGAGAAAAGGAGAGAGAAAATGCGAACACGGGGCTGGCTGGGAGAAGGGAGGGGGGTGGACAGGGGAGACGAGCAAGAAGAGAAAGAAGAGAAAGAAGAGCAAGAAGAGAATAAACGAGGGGATAGAGAGACGGGCAAAGGACCATAACGATTGTGCGCCCATGAGCGTGCGTGAGGTAGGCGGCAAAGACAGCAGGACACGCGGCTGCACTGCACAGCACGAAATTGCACCCCAACGCACAGCACAGCACCGCAACGCACAGCACAGCACAGCAGCCATACGCACATCCTACCAACACCACACAACCGCACACACACCTAGCGTGACAGAGAGACGGTCGTTGATCTCCTTGGGGAGAGCGGCCTTGAGTGGGTCAGCTAGGTGGCTGGCCACTGCCACCCAGCCCACGAGAGTGAGGTAGGAGGAGAAGAGCGAGCAGGACACACGGCCACAGCGCACAGAAACCCACACCACCGCACAGCACAGCACGCCACAGCACAGAGCAGCAGAGCACAGAGGCCAGCCACACGCCCATGTTGCTTCTATCAGAGGACAGGAGGGAACGACCCACACACACACACACCTAGCGTGACGGACAGCCGGTCGTTGATCTCCTTGGGCAGAGCGGCCTTGAGCGGGTCAGCTAGGTGGCTGGCCACTGCAACCCCGCCCACGAGCGTGAGGTAGGAGGAGAAGAGCACGCGCAGGTCAAAGTCCGGGGCGAAGCGCAGCAGGCAGTAGAGCGAGAAGAGCGTGACGGAGCAGAGCACGGGCACTGCCATGCCCTGCTGCATGCTCACCGCCTGCACTGGGGGGCGGGTGAGGCTGGGGTGGGATGGTGGAGGGGAGGGAATAGGGGAAAGACGGGGGCGGGTGGGGAGCGAACGGGTGGAGAAGGGGGTAAGGGGGAGTAGGGGGTGACGGAGTGGGTAGAGGGAGTGGGGAAGCGGACAGAGTGGAGGATGTTTTAGGCGGTCGGAAACAGAATGGCGTGGCTGAGAAGAGGGAGAGTGCGGGGTATGGATGGAGGAGGGAGAGCGCGCAATACAGAGCTGCACACACACAGGCGGCCCACCCTCACCCCATTATATAGATCTGACCGGGTCTCACCGCGCGCCTGCGCTCTCCACACACAGACGGCGCTTCCTCACCTGCGGTGGCTGCCAACGTAGACGGCCCAGAGCGCGAGCAGGCCGAAGTAGAGCGGCGCGGACCACTGGCAGCGCGGCAGCGCGGGCACCACGGGCACGGACAGCAGCAGCACGCCCAGCGCCGCCTGGCGGAGAGGGGGGGGGGGGGGGGGCGCGCGCGCGGGAGCGGGGATGGGTGGCGAAGGGTGAGAAGGGGGGATGCGTGGCGGAAACGAGGGGAGGGGGGGATGCGTGGCGGAGACAAGGGGAGGGGGGAATGCATGACGGAGGACGGGGAACGAACGAAGGCCCCTTAGAGTGGACCGTTGAGTGCGACTCTCACTATATTTCTCTGCCTCTCGCTCTCCCCTCTCTTCCATGTTGAATTACCTTGGGCCACCACGAGGTGTCCAGTTCCCTTTCTCTGCCGCCGCAGCCGCCGCCGCCGCCGCCGCTGCCTCTTTCCCAGCACTCTAAATCGACACTGAGAGAGACTCAGCTGGACTCGAGAGGCACTACCTTGGGCTCCCACGACGTTGACCAGTTCCCTTTCTCTGCCGCCGCCTCTTTTCCGGCGATGCTCCCTCCGCCAACCGAATCCGCGCTTGCAACAATGGCGGCTTCCGCTTCCGCTCCTGCCGGTACTCCTTCCCCTGCTGGAGATTCCGCTGCTCGCGCATCCGCCGCGGATGCTTCCGCCGGTGATTGTTCCGCCGGTGATCGTTCCGCCGGTTGCGATTCCGTGAAAGTTAAAAGGTCTCGCGCGGCGTCCCCTTCCGCCGATCGCACGACCACAGCCAGGCGGCGACGCGCGCAACGCAGGGATCCTCTCGAGGCGGAGGGGAAGGCTACTCGGCGGGATAACGGAATTGCGGCAGCGGGTGTGCCATGGGGTGCGGGGAGGCGGAGAGGAGCGGAAAGCGGGGCAGCGAAGGGCGGCGACAAAGCGTGCGCGGAGGAGAGGCGGGAGACGGCTGACGGATACGACAGCCGCGGAGTGGCAAGGGTGCTTGTCGTGGCGACTAGCGACGTGTGGTGAGATGCCGCCATGGCTGGCGGATGGACGGCAGAGATGACGGGTGACGAACAGATTGCTGGAGGCGGAATGGATGAGCTGTGGTGATGGAAGCTGCTTCTCTCCGAGCGATGCGGGGAGCTGCTATGATCCCTAAACTAAGCTAGGCACCCAATATTTGTTGATATCTATCCTAATACGATACATATGATATAATTCATAAGTGCTTAATAATGCTCGTTAAAATAAACCGGCTAAAAGTATTTTTTGAGTACGTTTTTTGTAATACGCTTGTATAAACAAATATCTTTAGCTTTGATTGCGGAAATGATACCAGCTGTAAAAATTCACTGCGGGTATAATATGTGGGGTGCCCGAAAACGTTTGGAAGTGACACTCATCGCGGGTGCATTCATTGACTGTGCATCATCACGCATATCTACGATTGTAACAACATGTGTCAAACGTAATTACGGTTCGGATGAAAACACGTATCACGTAAACACACTTGCCCGAGATCGAGGTCCCTCATTCGCAAGTTTAGGGCATGGGGAACGAATTCCCACATAATGATACATCCTGATTGGATTAAATTATTGGCGGGACAGTAAGAACACGCAAGCACATGTGTTGGGAGGCCCTTGCCACGTAAGCGATGACAGGGACGTGCTGGAGGAGTTTTCTGAGGTGAAGGGAGGACGTGGCGCAGTTCGCTTGGGAAGTGGCATTGCAGCTAACTCATAAATACACTTTATACTCTTTAAAACGCTCCACTTTGCATCAACCCAAACTTGATGCATAGAAATGAGCAAACAGTTTCAACCAAAACGGTTTGCCAAACTCGGGTGCAGGACACAACTCATACCATGCCCACAAGGATGTGATGGTTTCATCACGGCAATAAGAATTCCAATTATTGCCCTGCCATGTTACCTCATTTCGTGTTGCCCTTGATTTGCTAGTGCACTTCAATATCAACATTTTATTTGCTTGCCGTCTGTTCTACTCAATCATCCGCCACTTCTCCGACAGCGAATGGACGAGGCTCTTGGAAGCAGCAGATGTTCCACTCATTGCCTCCGACCACTCGCTCCTCCCAAACGTGTCCGTGCTGCCGCCCTCACCCCTCACACCCCCTCCCATTCTCAAACTGGGCTCTACAGCGGCAGAGTGGTCGCCATCGCTGCAGTAGAGCGAGAGGAGGTTCTGGAGGCGGCGGGCAACGTCCTTCATGTTGGGGCGGCGCGAGGCGGGCATCTTGAGGCAGTCCAGCGCGATGTCTGCCAGCTCCACCACCACCTCGTCCGGCGCCTCCAGCCCCGCGTCCTTCAGCTCCCCCAACTCGTACACCTGCACCTTGCGTGCCGCCTGGGGGGGATGAGGGCGGGAAGAACAAGGGAGGATTGTTACATGCCCAGCTCATACACCTCCACCTTGCACACCGCCTGGGAGGAGTTGGGGAGGAGTTGGGGAGGTGGGGAAGGGAAAAGAGATATAGGCAGGTAGCAAAATGGTTAGCTCATACACATGCACCTTGCACATGTGCGTGAACTTTGACAAGGAAGGGGCATTTGAAAGCAGGTTGAAAGAGAAGAAAATTGAGTATACCGAAAGAAGTCATAGCAGATGAGATGGATTTTTAGTCGACTTGAAGAACACAGCGTGAAAGAGCAGAAGGCAGTAATGAATGAGCGAGAGGGAGACGGTTGTACTAAGGAATTGGAGCACGACGTACATGCCCCCTACCTCCTTCTGAATCAGCCTTGCTTCTTTTCCTGCTCAACATAGGGCATGGATTTTGCCAGGTGTGCTCCCACAACAACTGCTGGTTTCCACGCATGCATGCATGCATCAACTCACCCAGTCACTGATGTGGCTATCGGTGCCCTCCACGGCTGCCTTCTGCCTTGTCAGCAGCTCCAGCAGCACCACGCCAAAACTGCTCCAACGCATATGGTTGGACGGGTTTTGGGGAGAAAATAGAAGAAAAGGCACAAGGAAGTGCGAGGGGACAATATCCATGGCACCTTCTAGAAAAAAAGGACTGTGTGACGAAAGGGCATGGGAGAGAGAGGAACGAGGAGTTTGATTTGCAGCACAGCTTGCTTCACTGGCATTCACATAGCGCATGAGGGAGCATAGCAAGGCCGGGACCATTGCAAGGAAGTGTGCGGGCACCTGTAGACATCGCTCTTGTCGGAGACGACTTGCGTGCGGTTGTAGTCGGGGTCGAGGTAGCCCGGGGTGCCGACTTTTGAGGCGCCTCAAAAGTCAACATAGCAAGGGCGCATGCATGCACCTGTGGACGTCGCACCTGTACACGTCGCTCTTTTCAGAAACGACTTGCGTGCGGTTGTAGTCGGGGTCGAGGTAGCCCGGGGTGCCGGCCACTCGAGTGCGGTCGTGGGCACCATCGCCCTCTGCGTGGGTGAGCATCTTGAGCAGCCCAAAGTCGGCGATCTTGGCCTGGTTGTGCTCGCCCACGAGGATGTTGCCGGGCTTGAGGTCGCGGTGCACAATGGGCGTCGCGAAGCTGTGCAGATACGCCACTCCCTCCGCTGCCCCCACCGCCAGCTGCAGCCGCTGCTTCAAAGTTAAGGGCGCTGGGGAGAGGAGGAGAAAAGGGGAAGGATAGAGGCACAAATAAAAAAAACAAATGAAAATTTTTGTGATGAAGAGAGCAAATGGCAAATCTGCATCTCTTGTAAGAGACGTTGGGCAAAGTAAGGAAAGCTTACATTTGGAGTCATGGATGTGGTGCTTGAGGTCTTCGTTATTCCATTCTTTTCACTCAGAATTTAGGAAGGGACATGCTGACGGTAGTTGGCCCCGCCCTCGCTTAGGCGAAGCCGACTTCATGGTTGGGTGCAGTGGGCGACGCCGACTTGGGCAAGAAGGTCGACCCACCCTGAACCATTGCGAAGCCGCCGACAACGGGAAGTCGGTGGCCGACTCCGACTGTTGTGGTCGACGAAGGGGTTCGTCGACCAGCGGGGACGCCGACTTGGAGCGATGCTGGCAAGCCGCCATCGAGCTGTGTTGGCAGGTCGCCGACTTGCTGCGCTGGCAGTCGACCTGCCTGTGTGACAGGTTGCTAAGATCCTGATGTAGTCATTGTTGTTTACTATTCTTGCATCATTCTGTAATCCTTATGCTATTGAAAGTCTTGCCAACTTTCACTGTGAATGAGCAAGTAGAGAGAACTCGAACAAACTTTATGATCACTCGTACCACCGTGCTTTCTCTGTAGTCTAGCTCCCGCCATTGTAGAGTGACTCTCCGCAGGACATACTCTTGGAGTCGTTGATATGGTACTTAAAAACTCCATTCGGCTCACTTGGATCTTTTCTTCACTGGGCTTACTCTTTGAATCGTGGATGTGGAACTTGAGGTCCCCGTTGGGCACGAACTCGTAGACGAGGATCTGCTCCTGCTGGCCGCTCTCCACATTGTGATGCAGGCAGAAGCCCAACAGGCGCACCACGTGCTCATGCCGCAGCGACGCCATCGTCCGCACCTGCATGCATGCCACGTCGGGAAGCGGTAAGGGGGCCGGGAAGGGGGTGTTCAAAGATTTAGTACAGAAGGCTGGGAGGGATATACCACGTGCGTAACCCACACCTGCATGGCACGCCACTAGAAATACTTCCCCCCTGCTTGGTCATGCAAGATCCCACCACCCCCCCCCCCCCCCCCCCCCCCCCCCCCCCCCTCCCCCCACACACCCCCACACATGGCCCAAAAAGACTCTCCCCCCCACCTCGGTCTGGAAGTCGTTGGACATGAGTGCGATGCGCTTGACAGCCCAGAGGTCGCCTTTGGGGGAGACGCCCTTGTAGACGGTGGCAAAGCCGCCCTTCCCCAACACATTGCTGCTCGCCCAATTGTCTGTTGCCCGTAGAATCTCCCCCATGCTGAACTCCTGACACACGTCCAGGTCGCTCCACCGCCCTGCCACAGCAGGAGACGCATCAGCACACAACACTCGCCACTATACGAGGACTCTCATTGACCAAATAGTTACACAAACAGAATTTTGTTTGGTGTGATTTTGACTGATGGATGGATAGTTGGAAAGAGAGGAGATGAGGAGAATCTCACTGCGTTTGCGGGGCCAGAGCAGCGCGACAATGAGAGCGAGGAGGAGAGCAAAGGCAGCAGCAGAGCCCACAGCGATGCCCACCACTGCACCCGTGGAGAGCGCTGGAGGGGCGAGGGGGGAGGAGCGAGGAGGCAAGACAGAGTTTGAAAAGAAAGAGTTTGCGAAGAAAGAGTTTGGGGAGAGGTTGAGAGATGGAGAGTTTCACCTCCACAGCCAACAGCACATGTTAAGATGGGCAACTTAAGAGCCTTGCAAACAACACATCCTTGTGCCATTCCCTGGCTGGCCCATAAGAGATCATACCTGCAGCAGGGGGCGGAGCAGGGCGGGCGCAGGTGGAGCCGAGGGAGCCGTTGGTGGGGACGAAGCCGTCGTCGCACTCACACGTGAAGCGCGCCTCTGCTGCCCCCGCCTGCGGCGGCACACACGCTCCGTGCCCGTCGCACGGCCCCAGCTCCCGCGACATGCTGCAGAATGCCAGGCACTCGTCGCTGCTGCGCTGCGTCTCGTTCGCCGTGCACTCCATCTGCTTGCTCAGCGTGAAACAGTTTCGCCGAAGGCTCGCCTCGCCCTTCTTGTTAGCCCCTGCACGTGTCATCTCAACATATCCTCCTGCCCCTCCGGGGACACAGCGGCCACCAGAAGTGTAGATTAGGTCTGCTGGTGTCAAGACAAGGGGCTGGATGACCCCCGAGGGGCAGAACTGGCAGCCATCGGCGTAGAGCATGGGGTCGCCATAGAAGAAGTTGCCTGCGATGTTGAGCAGAGCGCCGTTGTCAGGAATCATGCTGCGGAAGTTGCTGTTGATGGGGCCGTAGAAGCTGTTGTTGCTGATGTCACTGGAGTGAATAAAATGCGAGCAAAGAGGGTGGCAAGGGGAAGCGTGAAGGGAAAAAACACAATTGACTGTTCTTGCTACCCCTGTTGTGGTTATAGAGACACTAGACATGGGCATAGACTCGAGCCGCAGCTGGTCGCTACAGCAATTCGAGCTCATTGTTTCGTGGCTGTGGCAGGCTCATGCTGAGTTGAGGCAAGCAACAAGTTGGGGTTGCCGGCTTGCCTACTGTTGAGTGCAGAACGTGGTTTGCACACAACCTACCACCTCTTTGCCGACGGTGAGGGAAAGTGACGTGTATTGTTCAAAGGTAATTGGGGTGTGTGAGTTGCGCATATCTGTTCTTTACGGCTCATGAATCGCCTCGACGGTTCATAAGTTATGTGCGTTTCGTAAAAGGTTGCATTTCTGAGTGTTTGTTAAAATCTGTGTGTTATTGCGAGACTTTGTGCTCGTCTACGTTGTTTTGCGAGTTGTCGCGAGTGTACATGAATTTTGGTGTTCGTGAATTTACGTGAGGTTCGCGAGTGTGTTCATGAATTTCTGTGTGCTCATGTTTTGTTTTTTCATTTGTGTTCGTGAAGGATTGTGGGTGTTCACGAGGGGCGGTTGTTTGCCCTTGATATATTTCTCGCGAAGGTCAAGGTCAACCGCGCGGGAAAATCAGGACTTACATGTGGGGCCCGTGCGTGTGCCTTGGCACTATTGCGAGCGTGCCGAGGCTCACGATTGCAACAGGACAGGGCGAATGTCCGCCCTGCCCACACGCAGTACAGTGTGCATTGTACAGCACGACCGAAAAATCGATCGTGCATGATTGCCGTCAAGTGAGAGCTCAGGATTATGGTTGAAAAAACGAATCCCGCGTTTACTCGGCTAACATGTAACTTTGCCGGAAAGAACGTGCGAGTAACGCAGCAACTTCGATACAGGGACAAAACGGTGAAAATCGTTTTTCAACTGTAAACGTTCGTGAAAACGGTAGTCCCACATGGGTTTAGGGGGCAAACGGGGCAAAACAATTGCTAGAAACTTAACTTTATGATTAGTCATCTGAATTGGTGAACGCTCGTGTGAGGAGTCAGCAGGGGAGTTTGGAGGAAATGCAAGTTGAAGAGAGATTTTTTACAATGGCGAATCAAGCCAAATCCGACTGAAGTTTGACAACCGTTTTCAAGGCCAACCTGTTAATCAACACTTTGCTATTTTCCTTTGCTTGTGTGTTAGACGAAATATAAATGTGTGCTTGCGCCTGATTGTAAACAATCTTTTGATGAGCTAATTTTGCTCTATCAACGTATTGACGTGAAAAACTAATTATGCAGACCATTGTCTTCTCACTTAGAGGACTCCCTCCCCTTGGTTAGGGGCCAACTTCGACAGGCACCCGAGGACCCTTGTGGGGACTACCTAGTGTAAATCAGCTGTGCATAAAGAGCATCTAGATCCCAATTAGTAGTCAACACCTACCTGTGTAGCTCATGACAAGCGGCTATAAAGCTGCTTGCTCATTGCTCTAGTGTACACCAGTGCAAAGAACTGCTGCTTTCTCTTGGTCGGAGCAAAGGACTTGGTCCTGGCTGACTCAACCCTCACCGTCACCAGCCATGCCCTGCTACTCATGAGCTGGCCCTAGCTCGGCCCTTGATCATGACTGATTGACACGGTGCTTGCAACCATTGATTGTTATAGTTTCATTAAGATCTTATTTTTTCAGCTTTACCAGAATTCACCTGTGATGTTTCACTCATGCAGTGCAGGGCCTGCAAGGCAACACGCCGTGAACTACAACAGCAACATCAGCAGCACCCATCACTGTGTCATCAAGAGAGGTAAGTGAGTGTGAGAGCCCAAGTGGCACGTAGACCAGTGTTCATGTAGTTCGCAGCCTTAGGCTTGGCGTGGGTATCCATGCCAACTTCTATACCTTCTGCTGCAGACATGGCCCAACAGCAGTTGAAATTGACGTGAATCATAGTTCGCATTGACCAAGTTTAAGGTTGCAAAGCGTTTCGCGTTTTTGGTTGAACCTTTCGCTTGGCCTGAACTGGTTCCGAACTGACCTTCACTCACATCTTGTGCAAGCAGTATTCAAAGAAGCAGGACGGGAAGTTTCCATAGAAATGGTTGTTGCGAAGAAACCTGCAAAGGCGAGAGAAGAGGAGAATTGCATGCCATGCATGAAAGAAGCCATAGTAGGCTTATTGAATGGTGCCTGCAAGCAAGCATCCGAAGGCACAGGGGGTCAGTCCAAAACACAAGCAATATCTGCAACATCTAGATAGCCTTTACCTTAACTGCATAGCCACAGCCGGGCTTGAATACAAGGGAAAACAGGAGAGGCATGGAAAATGCCCATCAGAAGGAGAAAGAGAGGAGGAAGTAGTACAGCCGTTCTAGCTTGGTGAGGTTGCACATGGAAGGAGGGAGAACCCCCGTGAGCTGATTGTCATATAAGGACCTGCCAGCATGCAGAAGCACAAGATTCGGCTTAAAAAACCCTCAACAGAGTCATTCATTTAGCAGCAATGAGAGTTGCTCTAATTGCCACCAAGTTCAGAAGTACTGGTCAGAGTCAGACTGTGTATGCAGGCTTGACTTTCTTTTTAAGTTCGGCTATAGAAGCCACACCCCCATCCATCTGTGTTGAAGCTTTTCTTTTGCCGTCTGCACCTTCAATTTCTCATTATATTTGTTTCTTCAAATGCCATCGTTCTCCACTCTTTAATTCAGGCAGCAGCATTGTGGTATGAGTCACGATTCATGAAACAAAACGCCGGCATGAATATCATGGGGGAATAAACTTGTGTGAAGGTGAGAGACTGTGTAGCAGCAATTTAGATTCGAGCACAATGGTGTTATGAAGCAGGAAAATCACTTCACTAGGCAAGAACAGGGATTTAATAACAATAATTATGCATGGAACTTGGATTGTGGCTACATAGGAACGAATATGGTCTATCACAATAAGTTGGGGTCCACTGTCCACAATCATTGATGAGGGCAACTTTCATTTTTGTATTATTGTGGCCAGGATTATTGGTTCCCAAATCATTTACCTAAAGCATTGAGATTTACATAAATGGAACCAAGATTCTATCCCCCTCAACCAGGGTGAGCTCTACTTTTACACCCAAAAGTAGCCTTTGTAGTTGTATGCATGAAAAGGAAATAGGGATATAATGGACAAACAAGAGGCGAAGCTAGGTATGAGCGTCATACCAAACCGCACCCTTCTTTTTGGCCATCCGTGGCAAGCCGGAACAGTTTGGATATAAAATGAAAATTGAAAATGCGAAGCAAATGCGCCATGAAATTGAATTGAGAATATAATGGATTTCTTGCATCCAGGAGTGACATGAGATTTACCAATGCCACATCCTGCATAAAATCAATGCAGAAATGTGCAGCAGGAAACTGTGAAGCATGACATGACATAAGGGATGAGCAAGGGACTAACACGAACGTGTTCGTGTTCGCCCCTACACGAACATAGCCGTTTGCCGAACCGAACACTGTTCGGTTCGGCGAACACTTCGAGCAAAAACAGGTGTTCGCTGTTCGCCTGTGAAGGCGTGTTTGGGCGAACCTCGAACACGTTCGTGTTCGTCCCAGGGCAAATTGCAGCAGCGGCCCGAACACGAACGTGTTCGGGCGAACCTTGAACACTGTTCGGCGAACACTTCAAGCAAAAAAAACAAACCTGTTCGGTTCGCCTCGAATCGTTTTTTTGCTCATCCCTACATGACATGGATGGTGTGATGACACGTGATACGATATGCATGATAACATTTAACTACAGGGTAATAAGGTTGAAGAGGTTCCCAAGGCCGGTGGGTAAGGGTCCTGAAATGCTGTTGCCCGCCAGGTCTCTGGTGGCAGTGTAGAATGATGGATGTGTGGCAAAAGATCATTGGCACATGGAAACCATATTCGAGGTGCCTCGAGTAATATTTGGCAGGTCTCTTCGAAGGGGAGGCACGAGTGGGAGATGCATGGCATTGCACACGATCGTTTGAGCACGGACCATGAAGAAGAATGAAGGAGAGCAATGCTGATTGGCTCTGGGATGAGATGATGACGAGCAAAAAGAGACAAGTGGAGCAAGACTTTATCTGTGAGGCAATGCCAATCAGCAGAGCAGCGAGTGCTCATGGTTGTATGTGTTAGGAATAATGAGGAAAAAGAGGTAAGAACGAGGATAATTGATTACATGGCTGCAAGATTGGTGAGGGTCGTAAGAGATGCAGGTACGGTCCCTGAGAGCTGGTTGTTGGCCAAGGAGCTGAGAGGCCGCACACAAGACAAACAAGAGACAGGATGGTCCAATTTACAGGAGGCGGGTGTCTTCTGCTGCTTCGTGGCCTTGAGTTGCACAAAATGGAGGGGATGACTGGTGCTGATAATACAGTTGGTATAGGTACCTGGTACAGACAGATAGAGTAAAGGTTGATCGAGAGACAGATGGTGCCAGTGGCTCACATCATGTTAAGTGACGTCATTGTACTGATTGATTGCGGAATCGGCCCTGTAAAGTTGTTGTCTTGTAAAAGCCTGTAGTGTGATGGGATGGGATTACAATGAACATTAAGTCAGACACTCTCGGGATTGCACGCAGGAGTAGACGCAAGAATCGCTGGCATTAATCTCGTGAAAACGTGCGTATTCATGTTTGCACATGGCTGGCTTACAAGTATACGAGAGACGTGTTCCATAGAGTGAAATCAGGAAGAGGGCCCGAGAATCCATTCCCTTGAAGCTGCCTGCCAGCACACGATGTCAAAATTGTTCATCACAAATATATATAGCAAGGAAAAAAAAAAAAGAATTATATGGTTGCGCACATCCTAAACACTTCAAGGCTAAAATCACTAGTTGTCTTGTCGTCACATAACCAGCCACCCAAATGTTTTTATCCCAATCCCAAAGAAGCTCATGGGGACATACAACGTGCTGAGGGATCCTGTTACTAGTGGGCTAGGCAGGCTTCCTCCTAGCCGGTTGTCACTTAAATATCTGAAAGGCGTTTCATATGGAGAGACATTGGTGGGAAAGAGAGACAAAGTGGAGAGGAAAAAAACAAATAAACAAACTGGGCAGCGAGGGAAAGTGAGCAGTTTCCAGGCGTGCAGCGCAGCACATGTTAAAAAGGGAATCTCTTGCCAGTGCATGCATTCATTTCACAGCGGAAGAATAGCCCGCGGTTTGGTCTGGGCCAGCCATTGCTTGCCAGAGACACCTTGGCTTGTCACAACGACCTGCGCTGACGTGGCACGCGGAGGTGCAGCTTTACGAGCTCCACACACGACTTGGGCAAGTGCATGAAAGCATGAAGGGAATGGCGATCGAAAGGAAAGATTGGGGCGTGCGTGGATCCATCCAGGCAGGGCGACAGGGGCATGTGTGGAGTCAATGGAATAGAGATGCTGCAGTCCAGTCCAACAGTTTGATCGATAGAGGCGAGGAGGAAGCAAGGAACGGAGGGTGGTGAGAGAGAGCGCTGAGCAGGGAAAGTGTGCATTTTCTCTCCACTTACAAGTCAGAGATTCCGGTGATGGTAAAGAGGCTAAGAGGGATATCCCCATGAAAGTTGTTGTTGTCAAGACTTCTGGTGAAGATGGGATGTGGAAGAAGTTTAGGATATGCTTTGAGGACACAAGTCCGTAAATCACAAAGGGGGCAGGAGGGAGAGGAGGAAGGGAAGGCAGGGGAGAGGGGGGGGGGGGTTGGTTGGGGGGGGAGAGGATAAGAGAAAGAGACATTGCACAATCACTCCGATGCTGCGATAGTCACACCTGATGGCCATCAGTGTAACTTGCAATCAACAAAACAACCCATCCATAAAATGTAACTATCCCCAGGAAGCTGCAGCAAGTGCCACGGGATACATACAGATACGCCATATTCTGTAATTTAGATATGTCCTCAGGAATGGACCCGTGCAGCTGGTTATGCCCAACGTCTCTGCGCAAGGGAAAAAGAGGAGAATTTCATTTTTTTTCGTTTTGTTCAACTATGGCGTGATGAAGACTCGACGGCTGAATACAGAGCAGACATACGAGCTAACAGCGAGGCGAGTAAGGCACTACTCCTTCCTTCGTCCCGAGTAAAAGCCTCGTTTTTGCCTGCCTCATTCGAGTAACCAGGCGAGACGCGTGTTACTCCTTCCTCACGAGTTTCTGTCCTACTACTCGCCCACCCTGTTACTCGTCCATGAAGGCAAGTAGCTTTTACTTGTTACAAGTAATCACATACCCGGGGCGAGGTGAGGATCATTCGTCTCGACACAAACGCCTCGCAGAATACGTTAACTTCCACGTGAACAATCAAAGCGCGGCCTCTTTTTGCTGGCCCATATTGTACTGTTCACATACTTTCACACCCTTCTTGATACTTGCCCCACCACTGCACCTGGTTTCCCACACTGCTGAAAGTGGCTCAACCCACCAACCCATGCAATTTCACAGACAATACAGACTATATATTTCATATTAGACTGCTACAAATAAACCAGCTAACCTACATACCCAACCAACCGCAAACCATCTGCTACTAGACAAACCAACCAACCTGCCTCGCCCACCAACTGCTTAAAACCCGCAGGCCAAGAAGTTCAACCTTAGGAAGGTTGGTTGGGAGTGAAAACGAAATAGGCCCGCGAACCAATAGGAATGTCGAAAATGTTGGATGAGGTTCAGAACTCGGGAATGATCAGAGGCGTTTTTGGGACATCCAACCAACACTAGGATGAACCAATTTTGGCCTTCTTGGCCCGCGGGTTTTAATCTGCCCGACGTACTACAAACGCCCCCCAAACCACCCAACCCGCCCCGCATAATACAAACCAAACCTGCTTTACCAATTATCTAAACCGTCCCATCTACTTCATACCAGCATGCATGCCCACCAACTATCCAACCCTCCAAACCTGACTAGAAACCAGCCTACCTGCCCACTTCCCCAACTACAAAGGCACTAATTGTAGGCATAGCCCGGTGTATGAAGCCCTGAAAAGCATGCATGGGCATGGGCCAGGACAGCGTTGTTGGTGTGGCCAGAGTTGGGCCAGCCTGGTCACAACGCCGGCACTACCACTAAGGGAGGGAGGCGGATGGCTTGTTTCGGTCTGGGGCCAGCCTGGCTTGGGCCGGCTCCGGCCTGAGGTGCGCACAGTCAAAGAGGAAGGCGCTTGCGCGGACTGCCAAAGCCAGCTGCTATTTTGCAAGGTTCATGACCAAATATATATTTGTCACGTGCGGTGCAACTCTCAGCCCAACGAGGGCTGCTATTTGGCCCCGCAGGCCATGACTCAGGTTAGAACCGGCCTGTACCACCCTTGAGCCAGGCCAGCTCTCGGCTCATGCCTAGCTAAAAACTTATTTTCTTGTATCCCTCCTCAACCGCCTTATACATGTTGTGGATTGCTTCTCCCTGATGGATAGTGATGGCCCAAGTGCCGACTTTTGAGACGTCTCAAAGGTAGAAAGCACTGCAAACAAAAAAGGTTGAGCAAAGCAGATTTGTTTTCTCGCAGCAAGCAAGGTTTGACTCGAACCTGTAGTGGTTCAGGTCGAGCCATTTGGTTCGCTTTGACTAGTGGTACTGAGCTGCGTCGAACGGGGGACCCGAACCATAACCCTCAACCGGTCAGGTGGCCTTTAGTCAAACCTAGCCAGTTTCGGTTCGATTCGAATCCAAGGAAGGGGGCTCGAGCAAAAAAGGCAATCTTTCAAACCGGTTCGGCCCCAACCAAACCGGTTCAATTCGACTAGGAAGGGCAGTTTGAGTCATAAGTGGCATTCATGGGTAGGTTTGAGCAAAGAACGAACGCGAACATGTTCGCGCTCGCCCTTGCACGAACGGTTCGCCGAACGGCTTTCCCAAGAAAGGGTGTTAGGTGTTCGCCTATGAAGGCGTGTTCGGGCGAACCTTGAACACGTTCGTGTTCGACCCGGGGCGGCCTGCAGCAGCGGCCCGAACACGAACGTGTTCGGGCGAACTTCAAACACATTTGTCACGAACACTTTAAGCTTAAAAAAAAAAATGTTCGAGGAGAACCAAACAGGTGTTCGTTTCTTTGCTCAACCCTATTCATGGGGAACGCATGGCCACGGGGGAGAGAGTCAACACACAAAAAGGAAGATACTCCACTCATTCAACGAACAGGAAAAAAGGAGGTGCAGAGTGTGGGGCACGGGCTGTATTGTGGCTGCAAGGCTATTTGCAGGTAGCCAAACGCACAGAGCCATAAGGTTGGTGAGCTTCAGCAGAGCAGCAGGAAACGACCCTTGAAAAGAGTTGCCGCTAAGACTCCTGTGCAATCACAGAAATTAAAGTAAGACATACATACTACTGTGATGTGAATGTAACCTTTTGAGAACAAGTATGATTCCAAACACAGTTAGGTAGGTTATTGTTGGGTGCAAATACTTAATTTGCACGTCAACCTACCGCCTATTCGACGACGGTAAAGGAAAATGGGGAGTTTTGTTTGAAGGTAATTTTGTGGCGTGAGAAATGTCATTTCATTTTGCATTTTGTGTGTGCGCATTTTGTGTGTGTTCTATGCGCATTCGTCCTTGCATTTTGTGTGTTCTGTTTCTCATTCGTAATTGCATTTTGTGTTTGTGTATTTTCACTGTTCTCATGAAGCGCTCAAATGAGGCTCACATGATGCGCTCAAATGAGGCTCCTATGAAGCCTCAATTGAGGCCCTCATGAGGCTCAAATGAACTTCCCATGAAAGTCTCATGAATTTGTAATATTTCATGCGAGGCTCATTGGGGTTTCATGCGAGCGAGTGGTGTACCGGGGGGCAAAAGGGGGCTCGATAGTTTGCCTGGGGGGGGTGTTGACTTTCGCTCTAGTCAAGGTAAAAAGGTACACGAGAATCTGGCCGCGCGTGGGGTCCAGATCTCGCGCGTGCCCCCTCAAGGCTCGCGCATGTGCCTTGGCACTGTTGCGAGCGTGGCAGGGCCCACGATCGCAACAGGACAGGGCGAATTATCGCCCTGTCACGCGCAGTACAGCGCACGTCCGTGCACTGTACAGCACGGCCGAAAAGTTGGTCGTGCATGATTGCGTCCCTCAGGGGTGCGCGTGTGTTTGGGGGGGTGCTGAGGGATCCCGGAGTGTGCTCAGGATTGACTCGAGATTTTAGTTGGATAACTGAATCTCGAGTCTCGTCTTTTAAGACGTGGCGAACTCGAAATTTCTCGAGAAAGGCACGCAGCATTGCAGAATGATTTTGCCGCAGGTGCAATTCGGTTGCTCGCGTCATCAAACGGTTAAAACCGTTTTACAGCTGTAAACTCGCATGAACTTCATGTGAGGCTTATGGGAGCCACATGGGAGCCACACATGTTCATGTGAAGAGTCAACAGGGCAATTGCCAGGAGTGCAATTTATTAACAAACATGGAGACAAAGGCAATAGCCTAAGAAGTTGTGCAACCGTTTTCAAGTACAACGTGCCTAAATCAAGGACTTCGCCTTCGAACTGCTTTATGTTTTCCTTTGCTTGTGTGTTAGGCGAAGATATAAAATGCTTGCTTGTGCTTGCTTGGATTAATCCTTTCTAATGAAAATATTTTCTGAAATTTTTTTACGAGTTAAGTTGCTCTATCAACGTATTGATGTGAAGAGCTATTCTGCACACGAGCCTATTTCGTCGTCAACGCTGCGCATCGAAGTTTGGGAACGCTCTAGAACGCACGATCAATTTCGCACTTAGGGAATTCCCTCTACAAACACGGACCCTTGGATAGGGGCTGGTTCTACCAGGCACCCAAGGACACTTGGAGGTGACCCCGTGGGGACTACCTTGTGCTGATTAAAGGTGTGTTTAGAGCTGCTATATCCCAAATAGTGGTCAACAGTTATATTTTCTATTTTCAAAGAGTCAATTTTCGTATATAGGCCAGGCCTGACTCACATTGGTCCAAGTTATGAAAACCCGTGTGGCCTGATTAGCGCAATGTTTTGCAACAAAGAGATGAAAACACACCGAACCCATTCGGTTTGACTCACTTTGGGTGGTTTGGTTGTGATTGATTCGAACTAGAGGGTTCATCTGAGACTAGTGACCGTTCGACTCCCACCTTTCCTTGGCAAGAAAATACATAAATAATGCTTGGTGTTCAGCTAAAAAATATAGATGCTTTAGTAGGTTAGGTGTTTGCCCAAACAAACCACTTACAGAAAATTGAGAAGAGGGAAGGATAAAAGGCTGGGGACACTACCCGCATACATGTTGTAAGAAATTTCCCTGTGGTGATGTACGGCAGAGAGGAAAAATCTCTTCTGCGTGCCCATGTTAGGGAGTGTGAGAGAGACACTGCTGATCAGACATAGTGACTTAAAATGAGACCCTTGAAATGACAGGGTCCTTGTCATGTCATCTTGATCAGCTTGGAATGGGAAAAGGTAAAAAATGACTAGGAAGACGGAAACAAGATATGTCTGAGTGGAAGAATGATTGATTCAGAACAGCTGTTCAAAACGAAGTTACAGTGACTCAAGCCATGTCATCCTCTCGACTACGTCAAGCCCAGACGTCAATTGGTTGCCGGACAAGCGCCTGAAACGTGGAAGCACGGCAGCAGAAGCGGGATGAAAGACGGTGATGCTTGTTTTTTAAACTATCAGCCTTGCCTCGCTAACCATTTGATGTGAGAGTATGGGAGGAGCCAATGATTGTACTAGGCAAGATGAGAGTATATACACAATGAGAAGCAAGAGGGGTTCGCTCGAAACCCTAGCCAGCCTGATTATTTGACACCCCACCATTAAGTTGGGATTGGGAATTTATTGGGGATCCAATAAGTGCCCAAAACAATGGGCCAAACGATTCAGCCAAGGTTGCTTTTCCAACCCCAATTGGGGAAATTCCTAGTCGAACACCCCAACAAGCTTGTTTGTTTGCGTTGACGCTTAACGACATCCAGAAGCGTGTGAGCAAGCGAAGCTTGCGATGCGATGCTCAAAGCGTGCATTGTGAATACCCAAATAGGTTCAGCTGCCTTTTGCGCTCGACTCTACCCAAGCCGTATAGGATACATCCAGGGTACAAAAGGGGTATTACGCTGACAGACAGCTTACACCTGGTCTCTCTGCAATTCTAGGGCTTTCTTCCCTGAACAGCACCAAACGCATTCCATTCACAGAAGCTACTAAAAAGCGAGCAGAGATGTCATGCCACGCCATACAGTTTAGGCAGATTAGTGAGGCCTGTGAGTGACTCGGGAATCGCCCCTGTGAAGTTGTTGATACGCAGGCTCCTGGCAAGAGATACAGGGAGAGGTTGTGCAATACATCAAGCCCCGAGCAACAGAGACAATCTTCGCAGCATCTCAAAAATGGCTACTTGATACTGCAGTTATTTTTGCTACAAACAGGTAAAGGAGTAAACAGCATTGTGCTTTCTTCGTGCGATAAGGTTTTGGTAGAGTGAGCATTAGAAAGAGAGGATACCGGCATTAGCAGCAGTTTATGAAAATTTGACAAAGTCAATTGCAAGGCAAGCTTCATCAAGCACAGCAGATTGCAAGTGCAAGACACTAATCTTGGTCGGTCTAACTACTACATCAGTGCTCGCGTTTTGCTTCAGAGTAATGCATCCGGACAAACTTAAATGTAGTGTACCTTAAGACGGCTAGACTAAAACAACGGACTCGTATCGATGGGGTGATAAGGCAACGCAAGAAAGTCAGATATTCAATCTGCGCGCGCGCCTCAAAGAAATGAAAGAAATGTGTAACATTGCCTCTCACATCCATGTGAGACCATCGAGGGAGCCGATGAATGATGGCACGGGGCCAGAGAAGGCATTGTCGTCAAGGTTGCTGGAAGTAAGGGGGTGAAAGATGGTGAAGCAGTGTTATTGTGTACAATGATGATGTCAGGTCAGATGTTATGAATGTGGAACGGAAATTCAGCACAGATGAAGGCTCTGGGGGTCACTTTGAGTTAGAACTGAAGTAGACTGAACTGAATTCATCCTAGTATCCCTCAGTTGCAATCAGGATGTGAAGCAACGACAGGCGGCCATGCAAGGCCTGGCCTTTTCTCCATCAGAGCGTGCATGCATTGAGAGATTGCAGGGCTAAGCCAAAGGTCAAATGCGTTGAGATTCCATAAAAACGGAAGCAAAGCATTGTACGTTGTTGGTGGGTAAGAGACAGGAAAGCACACAGGCTACTAAGAGTGGTAGAAAAAACTCGTGGAATAGTGCCGTCCAAGCTGTTGGAACCCAGGTCTCTGAAACACCACAAAAGGAGGAATGGGAGATATGATACACCTTGAGCGTCAATACCGCCAGGAGGGCGTCATTGGACTAAAAGAGTGTTAAAGATGGGCGACAATAACCACATTTGTCATTGTTCCAGAATTGTACAAACCTCAACCTCACCAAACCTGATCTCCCGAAATCTGCAACCTTGCAATTGAGCTTCTAAAGGCGAATGGGAATCGCCAACAATTCCTCCCGATCATTTCCAGTCCATGTGTGAGAGGTTGGATTTTATGTATCCTACTTTCAAACGGTTTGAGCATAGAGTCTTACTACCTAGGGAATCCATCCTCACTCCAGGGTCACAGAGCCTTTGCTATTTCAATTCAAAGTTTCTCCTGGTACACGAGCCTTTTTCATCAATAGCAATTTTTAGTGGATAAAGAATGTACTATGAAGAAGCGACTTCGAGATTTTCAGAAGCAAAGGGGGAAATTGCAATGCAGGCAGGTACGACTTACAGCGTGCTCAAGGAAGTGAGGGCAGATAATGTGGATGGAATGGAGCCTTCAATCTTGTTCATTGCAAGCGACCTGTGGAGCAGCAATTTGAGAAGCGACATGCTGAGAAAATGTACGACAAGAAGATTGGAAAGAGTAGCAATGTAAGGCAAGAAGATCCATACTTGAGAAACAATCACAGGGTGTGAAAGGGGATACTTCATATACTTAATGAAAGCTGACGCTGGACTGTTCAAACAAAAAACGATGAGCGAAGTACTGAACAACTATGTAAACTCCAAGTTTGTGGTTGTTGATAGCATGATTGCACTTGACAAGACAATCTGTAGGAATTGCAAGTGATAAACATGGACGAATGAGAAAGTCAGTTCAAACACCGGCAGCACAAGCACTGGGGGTAAAAGGTGGTCTCACAAGAAGGTGAGGTGGTTCAGAGCGGTCCAGTACTCTGGAAGAGAACCAACCAATCCGTTGCCTGATGCGTCACTATTCAAGGTTGGGTGGGTGGAAGAATGGAGTTGCAAATTATCTTTCGCTTACCTATTGTACCTCAGCTAATCCTAGTAAACATCTGCCATTATTTCCCGCTCCACCATTTCAAACTGCTCCACCAACAAGCACACTGTGCTTGATTTGAAGTGCCAGAAGCTCCCTCACCTCATCTCATCTCATCACTTATCTGATATATTTCCGTCTGAGCTTCCACCATTACCAATTTACACGGACGGAATCAAACCTCAACATGATAGGGTCACATGTCAAACTTTCAGGCGTATTCAGGCAACGCGACAATTGAGAGCTCATATAGAGACAGAAAAATAGCACAGCCAAATCGAAAGGCACTCACAAGTGCTGCAATTGACTGAGGCGGTAAAGGTCTTGCGGCACCACTCCGGTGCGATATTCACTGTCATGGTACACATCGCTGGCAGGAGAGGGGTTGATTGAATGGGGAAAAAGGAGGGGTGCCACAAGGCCTGACATGATCAAGCCGACCTTGATCCAGGAGGGTCAATCTTAGCCGGATTGGAACCCTGGCGCCTCTGACGCGAGACCGGTTTGGGTCGACCCGGTCCTTTACTGGGTTAGATGACGCTTGACTGCATAGTAGGCTTGACTTGGGTTGGGTGGGTGAAAGCTTTTCAATTGTCGGTTCTCTTATTTCTATATCAATTACTCACTAGCAACAAAGCCAGCAAACATGAAAAGTCAATGTAGCCAGCTGGCGCGTTGAGTGGTGCACGATATGAGGGCACGCTGTGCTGGCGGGACACGGTGTGTTGACGCGCTGTGCGGGTGGGGATCGATGTGCCGTGCGAAATGCTAGGGTAGTCATGCTGCATTGTCGAGCAGTTATGTCGAGTCTCCTGATGAAACCCTTCACATACGGAAAATTATCTATAAATGGGGTTGAAGCTTTTGTACCCAATCAACCTGTTGAGATGTGACCCAGCCTACCCAGGTCAGGTCAGGGCCGACCCGATGAGTCTCCAAACAACCAGGACATTACGCGACAGTTGGGTCTTGGGTTGCCGCAACCCGAAAGGCTTGTGGGGAGACGGAGACAGCGGAGCAGAGCCGAGAGCGTGAAGTGGTCAACGCAAGAGCGGGGTGCACTTGTGCTGACCTGTTCTTTCATATCCTTGCACAGTTCACACACAACCAGGGGAAACGAGAAAAGGAACGACATGCAAGACAAACATGGTACGGAACATGTTGTGTGAGGGAGCAAGAGCAGTGCATTGCAGCAGTCGTACAGGTATCGCAAGGCTGTCAAGTCCATGACCCATCGGGGGAACTGAGTGCTGGTAAGGCGTCGTAAGTCCCTGCCACGTTTGGAGAAAGGAGCGTATGCATGAGTACACTGTACACTCGATTGATTTTGCAAGGACGTGCTGATTTGAAATAACTCACAAATGGGTGAGGGAGGTGAGGGTTCCGAGCGACACTGGCAGCTCTCCTGCCCAATCGATATTGTTTGCAATTGTGCTGCAAGGATACGGTAGGGAGGTACGCAAAACATTGCACCATGCTACGTACAAGTTATCCAGACAAAAGCACATGCATGCTCAAGTCAATAGACTGTATGCAGCAATGTGTGAGTGAGACTCTCCACACCTGGTTACCTGATCATACAACTTGCTGAGCGCCAAGTTCTCCTACATTCCTTACAGGCTCGTCGTTGTTTGGCATCAAGTAGAGACTTCAGGTCCTCAAGTCCAGACTTAAGTGGCTAGAATATCAACTCTCAACATCTGTATCTTCACCTCGCATATTATGCCCACCAGTGGTGGTCTATTGGACTTGTACCATTTTCTTGATCAAATACATCTTTTTCTCTTCTCGTTGTGCCCTAAGATCCAATTTGACATTCCAGGCTTAAAAACAAACACACACACACACACACACACACACACACACACACACAAAAAAAAAAAAAACGAATTCGTTGATACAATCTTCACTCTTACAGGTGTTGCATGGCTCTGAGAGTAGTGAGAAAGGTTAGGGATGACAGATCCCCGCTCATACTGTACATGTAATTCAACACACTGGTATGTTGCCATTGGTGTAAAGGACAAAACAGAAGAACGCATTATTGTTGGGTAGATATGAAAATAAGTACATAGGGAATGCGACAACTGCAAGTCTAACCAACCAACCAAGGAGGTCACCAAGCAGGTATGGGGGAAGGAATGCAAGGGGTGTTTTCTTTTTTAGGCGCCTCAGAAACAGAAGGAACTTTCAAAAGGCGCCAGAGGAGGATTTGAAAGGAGGAGGGACCATGAATGCAGAACAGAACCGGGTAGGGAAGCAGCAGAGAAGAAAACAAATGCATCAGTGGGACACAGAGAGAGCGAATAACAGGGGGGTTCAACAAATGGCCTGCTCTTGTGTGCACAAGCAGCAGCAATTCAAAAACATAATTTGTGATGGCGTAATGGTGCTAGTGCAAGTGCTTGCATCTATCAAAGATAGAGTTTCATAACATGCACTGGGGTTAGGGACTAGAGGAGTAAATGAAGTCACACAATAGAATAGTTGCGTACGAAATGGAAGAGAAGAAGACATGCGTTTATTTTCAATTGCCTTCTCTTCCATTTTCAACTATTTCAACTATTCTATTGTGTGACACAATATTGTGAGCACAATTGAAAATGTGCTCTCCTAAACTTCGAAGGACATTACGGCACGAGCACTACCAGGAGCGCATACACACTGAATGAACACTTGCAAGGAAGGTGCTTTCTCATGTGTGTTCTGCCGTTCCAAGGCAGACAGAAGGAGCACCAGCAGCAGGGCGTAGAGCACTTGAATGTATAAAAGGACAAAGCAGGCAGGGCGTACAGAGAGCGCAGGTTGGTGAGGGTTGAGAGCCATGAGAAGTCCTCCAGTCGCCCAGTGATGCCTGGTGCACCGATGTTGCTGGTAGAAGGTACGGTAAGGACCACGGAGAGAGGGGTTGCATGGGGGGAGAGAAAGACGAGACGAGACGTGGTATGTAGAAAGCACAGGTGATGCAGTGCAGGAACAGGAAGGCAGGCGCAATTAAACTGATGACAAAGAAGAAGAAAAAGAGGTGTGCATACCTCTGAGACGCCTCTAAAGGCTGGACGAAAGGGGGTGAACACAACACATGTGGTGTGGTTGAAGATGCCGCCGTGTCAAGCATTCATTTTGGGGGTGGAAACAGGCAGTGATGGATGATGGCAATGATGGTTCTTACACGGATAAGACCAGACCAGCCAGACAAGTTTTGAGTCGACTCAAAACGAAGCAATGGATGATGGCAATGATGGTTCTTACACGGCTAAGACCCGACCAGCCAGACAAGTTTTGAGTCGACTCAAAACAAAGCGATGGATGATGGCAATGATGGTTCTTACACGGCTAAGACCAGACCAGCCAGACAAGTTTTGAGTCGACTCAAAACAAAGCGATGGATGATGGCAATGATGGTTCTTACACGGCTAAGACCAGACCAGCAAGACAAGCCAACCGACTGATTGAACCGGCAGAGACACATAAGCAGCGCAAGACAAGCGCGTGCAGCAATGCAAAAAAAAAAAAAAAAAAAAAAACAACAACAACAACAACAACAACAACCGACAGGTATGTGAGGCGGGAGAGGCGGTTGAGATTGGACGGCAGGCTCCCAGAGAGAGACGTATAATAAATGTCCCTGGTCAAGGTTGGTTGGGGGGTGGAGGAGGGGGAGTGAGGACAGAACTGGAGCGGCCCGATAGGAATAGAGGAGTGGCAGAGAGGTGTGGAGAATACAAAGGGAACGACCCACCCATGTTGATTTGATGATAATGTGTGCCAGGATGTTGAAAACATAATTAAGAACTTTCATAAGTGGCCTGATGATAAATGTGTGCCAGGATGGCAACCCCTAGATTCTATCGAGCCTGTGTGTGAGCATGTTTGGGGCTGGCACACTGTGCAGAATGAATGTGAACCATCCCATTCCTAGCCTAAAAAATGCTGGGGTGGGAATGAATGAAGGGTGTGTGATCTCAAGGCAAACCAGATGTGCCCTGTAGGATGAATCGTACTCACAAGTGTGCGAGAGCTGAGAGGGAGAGGATGGAGGATGGTAGCGATCCAGACACGGACGTATCGGATAAGTCCCTGCCCGTGATTACATGGGGAAGCAAAGCGGAACACGGATGGGTGGGAGGGAAAAGGAGGAGGTATAATCAGGTCGTGTGGGTGGGAGCAAGAAGGACTGGCTTTCGGGATACGCGAGCTTTGAGCTGATTGCAATAGAACCTTCATGTATGTTGAACGCCTTAGAGATCTCACTGACTGCATTCAAGCATCACAGGTGGGTGTGCTAAAGAGAAGGGGCGGAATAGCACAAGCCTCACACAAGAATTAGTGTAGAATCGCATTGAGAAAAGGCAGCACTACTTGGTGTGTGATCGTCCAATGAAAGCTCCAGTCACAGACTCACAGTGCAGTGCACCAAGTTTGGTAAGAAAGTTCAAGACCACGTCCTGACCACTTGTCACAAATGCCACCATGCCACCAAGCAACCATGTCACCATGTCATGATGTCATCATGTCACGTCACCATGTGAATCAACCACACCACCATGCCATCATGCATGCATGCAATCAGTTACTCATGCTGCAATGCACACAACCCATCATATCAAATACTGAATTCAAAGGTCATCGTGCGCCCCAGCTTTCCAACCCTTCCTCATACAACTCGGGCGCACATGGCATGGCACATCGCCCCCTGTATCCATGAACCCTCTTTTTTTTTCCTGTTTCTCAGCCTCTCCTCTGACAACAACCCATCCGTCCCCCGCCTGGTCGTGGCCGTGTCAGTGCAAGGGGAGATGCTCGACGTGGGGGGAGGAAGGGAAGGAGAGGGTGCAGTGGCAGGCAGGGAGGGCAGCACTCACAGCACGCGCAGGGAGGGGGAAGAGAGCGGGGCATAGAAGGACGGGAAGCACTCACAGCATGCGCAGGGAGGGGGAAGAGAGCGGGGCATAGAAGGACGGGAAGCACTCACAGCACGCGCAGGGAGGGGGAAGAGAGCGGGGCATAGAAGGACGGGCAGCACTCACAGCATGCGCAGGGAGGGGGGCAGAGGGAGGTCTGAGATTGTCCCGTTGAGATTGTAGTTACCTCCTAGCACGCTGATAGGCGGGGGAGGAGAGGGTAGCAGGGCCAGGATAGGGAAAGCGGGGGTGGGGGTGGGGTGTGGAAGAGCAGGGGAGATGATGAAAGGTGGGGGTTGGGGGGGTGAGGAGTGAAGGGTCGGGTTGATATGAGGGGGCTGGGTAAGCTTGGGAAGTATATTGTGTGGATCATAAGAATCACTAGTCACACTTCAAGGCAGAACCTGCGATGCACGCGCGCACACACAGTATTTTGTGCACACAGGAACATGAGGAACGTGAGGAACGTGAGGAACGCCCGCAGGATCATGGGCACGACGTAAAGAAAAGACACAGAGGGGAACAACAGCAGTGGAAGAGAAACTGCGACGAAGCAAACAGGCGAGTGTATGGGAGCTTGGGAGGCAATCTGGCTTCTAAAAGCATCCTCAATAACGCAGATTGGCGTCTCGCTGGGTGATATGAAGGAAACAATGAAACAAGGTGACGTATGGCGTCAGAGGATGGGGTGAGAGAAATGGAACAGGGAGGTAGGGAGGGGCGGTGGTATGGGAGCAAGGGACGTACAGGCGTCTGAGATAAGGCATGGAGGAGAAGACATTGAGAGGCATGGTCGCGTCGATCCCAACGTCAGGCAGTACGCTGCAGGAAACAAGGTGTTGCAATAAAGAAGCACAGAGATCCATGCGACCATGTGTGTGTGTGTGCGCGCACGCACACGAACACACAGAGTCACACATACACACACAGATTCACACACACACGCACACACACACACACACACACACGCACACACACACACACACGCACACACACACGCACACACACACACACACGCGCACGCACACACACACACGCACACACGCTCAAAAAAACACACATGCACACACACACACACACACACCCCCCAACACACACACACAGACACACGCATGCACTTGTGGAGACAATGGCAATAGAGATCACGAATGCGGGGCAGCATTGCAACACAGCTCTGCATGTGACATCTCTGACCACACCCGCCCTAACGCATTGCATTTCCACTGAAGCTTCTGGAGAAACACGGCACAAGCAGCGCCGTCCGCACTGCTTCAAGTGCCCGCAAATGCTGTCCTTCCCCCACAGGGCTCGCTAACTGTCCCACACCACACCAGTAGAGCAAAGCAAAGCACAGAGCAGAGCAAAGCAGAGCAGAGCAGATAAAATTATTGACGTACACAGCAGTGATGAAGCCCTGCGCGTTGCACTGGATGTACTCCCACTGGTCGCAGCGCCGTGAGCGGTTGGAGTTGGACGGCCACAGCTGCCACGCGGCGTTTAGTGCCTCCAGCGCACGCACTGCACCGGACAGTGTGCCCGTCCCCCCCCCCCCTCCCACCGCCCGGCGCAACCAGCACCACAGGCGAGGAGGGGCGTGGCGAGGCAAAAACACACGGCGAAGCGAGCATACGTGAGCACATGCCAGCAGAGTAAGAGTCCACCGTGAAGGAAGCAACGTGACTGAGCAGCTTACGTGCGGTGACAGAACTAAATTCTCAATCGCAGCGTGTGTGACAGAGTTAGGCACGGGCAAATGGGTGGGAAGAGACGAAGACGCGGGCCGGCCGAGGATATAACACCGAGCTACCCACTGGGTCAACATGACTGTGTTATTTGGAGCAGCGAAGTGCCCATTAACACAGCCCACAGGCGGTACACTCGTCCCCTCCTGGTGCCAACGTCCCCGTTGGCGAACTTCAAGGAGTCGGCTCCTCCCAGGGACCTAGATTTTGCTGAAAAGGCAGCAGAGACTTCGCTGGTGGACCAGGCCAGCGGAAGATCGTTCGCTGGGTTCAATCTGGTAAGCACATTTAAATTCTCGCCACTGGCGGACAATGTGGAACAGCCAGGATTTTAACCTGGCTCTGATTCCAGCATAATGCGGATAATGTGGACCAGCCAAGATTTGAGCCCTGGCTCTGATTCCAGTGTAACGCGGATAATGTGGACCAGCCAGGATTTGAACCCGGGCTCTGATTCCAGTGTAATGTGGATAATGTGGACCAGCCAGGATTTGAACCCTGGCTCTGATTCCAGTAACTAGTAGTGTTTTATTTGGCGCAGCGAAATGCCCACAGGCCACCGGAGTGATCAGGTTGGGGCTTACGCTGCCTGTCAGCGAGCAATGTTAGAGAGCGCGACGATGCGGCCCTCTCAAGGAGGCTCATGCGACGCTCTGTCGCCCCGCGCGACCCATGCGATGGGCCAAGCGACAATTCACGCCGCGGGCGATGCGCCAGCCAATTCATCGCGGCGGTGATTCCCGAGGCCGCTGAATGGTTGTGAGAGGCAGCTCCGGCGGCGGAGAGGACCGACTGCGGCAGTGCTAGTACTACGAGGACTCTGAATGCTACTACTAAGAGAGCGACGACAGCACGGAAGGCTGGCGCTGCCGCAGCCAGCGGGTCGTAGTAACTGTGGGAGGGCGAGCTCCGGGCTAAGCTGTGAGAGGGCGGTCGCGCCATGGCGGCATGCGAAGAATCCGCGCTCCTGAGAAGGACGATGGGGTAAAAAAGCCTCTCAGGGTAATTCCTGACTTCAAGGCAGAGTGGGGAAGACGTGGTGGAGTTATTCGGGCTACAGAGGCCCAGAGTGGCCTGGCTTAGAATAGTGAACTGAGGCCTGACTGGAAGAGGGAACAAACCCTTGTATGCCAAGTACCGTACTGTAGCGTTGAAAAGCAACTGTTTCGAACGCAGCACCGTACTGTATCTGTTACAACAATCCAATTAGGGTCAGCGCCGTCCGTTTTTGCCTGCTGCCTTCCCTTCACTCCTCGCACTTTCCCCCCACGAGGAACTCGGTGATGCGGTGCGGAAAAATGGTTTGCCTTGGTGTGGGGGAGGCAGGTGAGCGTTTTTTGCAGCCTGATCGCTCAAGCTGCACGTGTCACCCAAGTTTCATCCAAGTTCCATCCAAACATGTTCACAACTTGAGATACGGTACACACTGGAAGCAAACCTCCTCCTCAACATTGCGCATCGTGTACTGCACTGTAGGCTGGTTTTACAGAAGTGCCTTTCCTCCCATTCCCAAATGAAGACGTTTCGTACGGGAGCCGCAAGTGACTTGTACGTACGGGATCACTAGATCGTTTGCAGTTAGCAGTCCTTTTGAGATCAGAAAAGCTAGTGTACTACATGCTAATCGTTATAATCTGAAACCCAATCGTTTAAGCAGTGACATTTCTTGAATAAATTAAGGTTAGGACCCTAGGGACTTTGGGATTACTGTGGCTAAATGGAAGATGTCGAACTGTAGATAACAGCGTCATGGCATTGTACTTCTGCTGCATCACAGGAAGCAACTATTTTACATCCTTTTTTTCACAGCTTCCCGTCAGCTTCATCACTGGAAAATATGCAAGGAAACATGCTGCTCTTGCAAGCAGCCATAACCACAAGACAGCTAGTAGAGCCACGACCAAGAGTTCGGCATGGTAACATAACATAAAGGCTACACAAGTGCATGGTAGAGGCCACTGGAGAGGCCTGTAATGCTGACGAGTGCAGAAAAGACAAGAAGGAAGTGTGCCACTGCCCTGTGCCATGATGCGAACAGCCCCAGACGGTCCCTGTGAGCAGTAGATGAGGGGGGAGCATGGGGATTGGAGTTGAAGAAATGCACAGGCACAGGAATGGAGAGGAGGGCCGGTTCACTTCAGAACTAGCACAGGCACAGGAATGGAGACAGGCACAGGGATGAAGGTTTGACTGGCGGACCGTGCAAGGTATAGTAGGAGCATGAGACGATTACAGCACACAATGGCCAGGTAGGGTGATGGATGGGTGATGGGAGGGCGATGGGACGGTGTGATGGGGAGGAGTGATGGGGTAGTGACATGGCAAGGAAGGGGCAATGGAAATATGCAATAGCTAAGGTGATGGCAATATGACGGCAATAAGGTGGCACTGACAACGGCCGTACTTGAGTGTGAGAAGCGCTGGGAAGACAAACGCGAGCAGCATCGTTGCAGTAGCCCCCGTGATATCAAACGCCAGGCCGATATTCGGCACCATCACCGCCCCCACTCCCACCAGCACCATCCCCCCCACCGTCACCACCGCAAACCTCCTATCATCCTCTAGTAACGGCTTCTCCGCCCCGGGGAAAATCAAATCGTCGGCGATTATTCTCAGCGAGTAAAAGATCACGGGGAAGACAAAGACTATATGGAGTACGTAGGTGACTCGGACTGTGTCGTTGATGAGAGAGGAGAGGGGCAGGCCTAGGTCCCGGTCGAAGTTGATTAGCACGTCTGAAGCGGTGCTGGAGCCGAAGAGGAGGAAGGCGGAGACAGATGTGAGGACGTAGACTGTGGTGCAGAGGAGTAGCGAGGAGCGCGTGACTCGGAGCATCGTTGCTGCTGTGCGGTCTTTGAGCTCCACGAAAATGGAGTGCACTGAAGGGGGGGAGTAGGGAGGAGGGAGAGGAGGGAGAGGAGGGAGAGGAGGGAGAGAGACTTTTGAGAAACTTTAATAATGGCTCGAACTAACATTGCTGTGCGGTCCTCGAGCTCCACGAAGACGGAGTGCACTGGAAGGGGTGGGGAGGGGGGAGAGAGAGACGTTTGAGAATTCTCAGTAGGGTCTGCAACACTGCGCTGCAGTCATTTAGCCCCACGGAGATAGAGTGCACTGGGGGGGCAAGGGAGGGGGTTGGAGGGGTATTATGGTTATGGCAAGGAATGAGAATGGGGTGCAGAGGGAAGGGTAGAGTAGAGATAAGTAGAACGAGAGGAACAGTGAGAGCAAGGTCTGAGTCAGAAGAAAAGAGAATGGAAGAAAAGCAGATGTGGACGGATAAGGGTGGCAAGGCAATCCTTAATGCTGATGCTACAATGGCAGACAAATTGGAACCGACCGGCTCCCTGCCTGCCTGAAAATGAACTTCCAGAGGTGAGTCGTACCGGTAATTGTTTGACATGCAAGCAAGGCATCTTGGGGAAGGACGGGATTTGATTTTGATGATAGAACTGAGAAGAGGTGCTTACCGTTGTAGTGGCACGCGTATGCTGTTGCCATGACCTGCAGGGGAGAAGCAGGGAGGAGGCACACAGAGGAGGCTGATGGGGGAGAAAGCATGGAGTGGAGCGATGGGGAAATGATCTTTGCGGTATTGGTGAGAGCGAGAGGGAAGAGGGGGGATCCAAACGAGAGCAATCAGGTCAGACGCACAGCACAGGCACACCGGTTTGGTGTGACCTGAACGTTCCCAGTCATGCCTGTGCTGTGCTGTGCTGTGCTGTGCTGTGCTGTGCTGTGCTGTGCTGTGCTGTGCTGTGCTGTGCTGTGCTGTGCTGTGCGTCTGACCTGGCCAGACGGTTCATGACTTTTTGTTCACACACCATGGCACTATGCCATGCGGCATGCCCCTAATTGCAACCCAGCACCATGTTGCCTATGCTTGTGAGCCATTATGGCCACACCACAGTGGCTCACAAGCATGCACCCCAAGGGAGGAACACGCGTTTTCACCCAGGCACACATACCCCCCTCCTCTCTTCATGCCTTTGCCATCCCACTCACTCACAGTCACCCACACTCTTCACATTCCCTCGTGCGCGCTCCCTCCTGCTCCCCCACACTCCCCCACACTCCCTCACATCACACTCCCCCACACTCCCTCACATCACACTCCCCCACACTCCCTCACATCACACTCCCCCACACTCCCCCACGCACGCACCGGCATGACGGAGAAGAGGCCAGAGAGGTCCTTGAGCGAGGAGCACGCGGGCAGCATGCGCGGAGGCTGGATGCGCCCCTGCACCCACTGCACTGCCGCCACGGCCACTGTGATCACCACAAACACCACCGCCAGCGCTATGGACAGCGCTGACGTGTAGTGTAGGGAGTCTGGAAGGGGTGGAGGGCGAGGGAGGGGGAGGGGGAGGGGGAGGGAGGGGGGGAGGGAGAGGTGGGGAGGAGGGGGAAGGGGAGGGAGAAGGGGAGGGGGAGGGGGAGGGGGAGGGGGAGGGGATGGGGAGGGGATGGAGAGGGGATGGGGGAGAGGGGGAAGAGGGGTGGGGAATGAGAAGGGGCAGGTGAATGCGCCCCTGCACCCACTGCGCTGCCGCCCCGGCCACTGTGATCACCACAAACACCACCGCCAGCGCTATGGACAGCGCTGACGTGTAGTGTAGGGAGTCTGGAAGGGGTGGAGGGCGAGGGAGGGGGAGGGGGAGGGGGAGGGGGGGGGGGGAGGGAGAGGTGGGGAGGAGGGGGAAGGGGAGGGAGAAGGGGAGGGGGAGGGGGAGGGGGAGGGGATGGGGAGGGGATGGGGGAGAGGGGGAAGAGGGGTGGGGAATGAGAAGGGCGGGTGAATGCGCCCCTGCAACCACTGCACTTCTCCCACGGCCACTGGGATCACCACAAACACCACCGCCAGCGCTATGGACAGCGCTGACGGGTAGTGCAGGGAGTCTTGGGGGAGGGAAAAAGGGGGGGGGGGAGGAGGGGAGGGGTGGGAGAGCAGGAAAAAGGACCGGGTTGAGGGTTTAGTAGGCATTGTTGGTGGCATGTGTGATGGGCATGGTAGGGAAGCACAGGAGTACGGGTGGAAACAAGGCACGAGTGGCAATCTACTAGTTCGCCTTGTACTGGCCGTGTTTTACCAAATTTCCCGCTTCCTTTTCTCATCCCCACTTGACTTGGTCTCTCGCGAGGTGTTGTACAGCCCTTGTGGCTAAGTGGTGGTGATCACACACTCACACTCCCTACCACTTCTCTCTCACTCGGTCGATTCCAGATGACACACCACACACAAGCACACCAATCTTGGTGCTTACCAACCAACACAGCACGAGCACCTGCCCGCCCTCACTCCCTCCGCCACGGTCTCGTTCCTTGCGCCACGCCACGCCACTCACCCACGTGTTGGAGCGCCACGAGTGGGGCGAGCACGAGCAGCATGGTGGAAATGATGACGATGGGACGCATGGGCCACCACACCCCCGCCACCAGCCGCCTTTGACTCGACCCAAAATCCACCTCTCTCACTCGCTCACCCACGTGTTTTAGCGCCATTCTCACCGGAGTGTTTTAGCGCCATTCACTCACTCACCGAAGTGTTTTAGGGCTACGAGGGGAGCGACTACAAGCAGCATGGTGGAGATGATGACGATGGGACGCATGGGCCACCACGCGCCCGCCACCAGCCGACTCTTGAGTCGACCAAAAGTCACCTCTCACTCACTCACCCATGTGTTTGATCGCCTCTCACTCACTCACCAACGTGTTTGAGCGCCACAAGGGGAGCGAGTACGAGCAGCATGGTGGAGATGATGACGATGGGGCGCATGGGCCACCACGACCCCGCCACGAGCCCCCACTCCGCCAGCAGCCCCTCGTGCAGTGATGCCTCCCGCATGGCGTCCACTGGGGATGCCACCACGTGCTGCGCTGATGTGCCCGCCACCACGTCCGCTGGGGATGGGGCAATAAGGGGGGGTTGGGAATGGGGTGTGGGGGGGAAGGGAGGGAGGAGACAGAGAAGGGGAGAGGGGGAAAGGGGGTTTGTGTGGGGGGGGGAAAGGTGGGGGGGTGGATATTTGAAAGATAATCGGGGGTCTGATGAAAGTGATTAATTTTCGCATGGGCCTCCATGCCCCCGCCACCAGCCCCCACTCTGCCAGCAGCCCCTCGTGCAGCGATGCCTCCCGCATGGCGTCCACTGGGGATGCCACCACGTCCGCTGCAAACGAGGGAAAAAGCAGGGGGTTGGTTTGGTAGGGAAGTGAGAGTTGGGGGTGTAGGGCGGGGGGGGGGGGAGAGGGGGGAAATGGGGAGGAGAGGGGAGGGTGGGGGAAGGCCGGGGAATATGTGAAAGCCGTTTTGGGGTCTGATGGAAATGGGTTTGCTTGCATGGATTTCACTGCGGATGATGCCACGTGCTGTGCTGATGAGCCCGCCACCATGTCAGCTGGAGCTGGGGGGAATGGAGTTTGGGGTTTTGGGATGTGGGGGGAAGGTGGAGAGAGAGGATGGAAAGGGAAGGGGAAGGGAAGGAGGGGGTTGTAAGAACACTGCATCAGGTCTGATAGTAAGGTTGAGGTTTTGTGAGCGAAATGCCTTTACTGAGGATAATCCTGCATGCTGCACTGATGTGCGGGCCAAAACATCAGCCGGGTGGGGGCGAGAGAATGCAGATGTGGATTCTGAAAAGCTTGTCTCGGGTGTGATAGTGATAAACAGCAACGGATCACGTACACTCTTCCTCCTCCGCTGCAGATGTTATCGCGGGAGTCTGTGTGAAGGGAACTGGGACAATAGAGTTGTCAATTGGTTACGATCAGGGTCAAGAACCCTGATTCGTTCCCACCAGCGAACCCAACCAGAACCCTGTATCGTGCAAGCTTACCAGCCTTTGTAATCCCAGCCCCGTCACCACGTCATTCCTATGCGGTTCTTTTATCATCCAGAACGCAGCCCCGGTCCATGAACGCACCAACACACCAGCGCATTGACACACCAACAAACCAACGCGCCAACACACAACCAAACCAGCACACACACCAGCGCAGCAACGCACCAACGATGATGAGGTACACGGTGCACATGCCCACGTTGTTAACCAGCACGGCCAGATCCAGCACCAGCCGCGACCGCTGCCCGCAGTCCTCCACCACCAGCCCGCTGTATGTCCATATTCGCCGCACCGCCGATGCGTTCACCAGCACCTCAATCGACAGCTCCGTTAGAAGCCCCATCGCTACAAGTAGCAGCACTCCGAGCGGCAAGCCAAGGACGTTGAGAGTGGCTGGTAGACCCATAATGCCTGCTCCGATTATCGACGTGGAGAGATTAAAAATCCCGCTTGATACTGTAGCTCCTGCGAATCCATGGCCGCCGCCTGAGCCGTGGTGGCCTCCCCCTCCGCCGCCGTGCGCTGGCGTTTCCAAGCTGAACGGTTTAAGCTTTCCGGAGGCTGCTCCTGCTGGCGATTTGAGCATCGGCTCCCGATCCTCCAAGCCGTCCTCTCTATTGTCGAACTCGTTGTTAGCGTCGAGATCGTCCTGAGCTTCCAACTTCGCTTGGCGCATGATCGTGGTGGAGAGTGGCGAAGACGACGACTTCGCCTGCGGCCACGATGAGTCGCCGGATCGAAATCCGTTCGCGACAATGACCACTTCGTGTGCGACATTGCCGACGTCGTCGTGAGTCTCTGCGACGTCGTCAATCGTGAATCGGGGGTCCGGCGGCGACGCTGAATGTGCTTGCCCCGCGCCTGCCATTAGGTGCGAATCTGCTCAATATCACGAGCATGCAACAAGGAACGTAAGAAAGCTAGAGCGAAGCTTGGCGTAGCCGCATTTATTCCTCAATATAGCTGACGTGCGAATCGAGTGCTGGCGTCGGGAAAGAAGAAGAATGGAGTCGACGCCGCTATTATTTATTTTCCTGAAGGCTAACATTGGTTGTACACGACTTAACAAGCATAATTACGCTAAAAATGGCGACGACGATCTGGTCAATTTGATGCTAGTGTGCTATGATGCTTTCTGTGCCAGGAAGCATTAGAGCTTTTTCGTAATCAGGAGTCTGGTGGTTGTAGGCAGAAATGGTTTGGTGAAACAGCAGGAATGCCGTTTTGCGGGAACAGAATTTCAGTGCTCACCTTGAATGAGTGGTGTAACGGGCGTGTCAGTACGCGTTACAGGGTCCGTCATTGGGTAGAAGTACCCCATTGTGAACATGGTTGCGGCGTACGGCCCTGCTTGGCCTCCTGCTTGAGCTCGGACGAACACGGAATGGTGGCCGATGGGATGACACGGTGTGGCAAGATGAAACGGAGCACACGAGTTTGAGTGGAGGGAGTCTCCGCTTTGCTTACGAACGTCGGGTCAACTGACAGCCTATTCCCACAACACTGGAAGGTTGGTGGGGCTCGCAATGCTGGTGCGATCACTTCGATGTTGGCTTGGCAGATACAAGCGTTTGTCAACTTCTAGTTACTATCTTTTGTTCCTCAAAATGCTTTTATCAGCAAATTCCAAAACTTCGAGGCGCCAGCGTTTCGAAGCTAGGTCTGGATGCAGGTCCGGTATTTGGGTCTGGCTTTTGCTGTTTGGCAGAGGGTCCTCCCTTACCTTGCTGGCTAGGTTAGGACCCGAAGCTGGGTGGAAGATGAAGCTGGCCAGCACCAGCGACCAATGGTTGTGTTGCGATGATGGCAGATCAACTAGTGAAGGTGCATCCACCCAAGAAGCAGGAACGATGATGCATGCATGGTGATGTCAACAATACAGCGACCAGGAATGAAGCTTTATCATTAGCTGTGAGTATTATTTCTTCATAGGAGATTAGTGAAGTCGCAACATTCTGTAATGTAAATTATCAACAATGCTGAAGCAGCTTATAAAAGGTTTCCGCTCCCCAACCCTGCATCCAAACCAGACTCTCCCAACAACCCCCAGGGAGCACTCCACAGGCTGATGCATTCTGGAGAACCCTGTTATATCACGTTCGCTGGCCACGACCAATGTCACCGTGATTAGCGGTGAATCACTGACGTCGATCTCGTGGAGCCAACTTCTCTTCGTTGCTGTGAAACGCCAACCCCACGACTCAACGGCTGTGAGACCTTTCATGGCCTTGCAGTAATCGGATTTAGTTATTTGACTTTGAATCTACCGAGGCCACACGCGCACCTTACGTAAGGTGACACCTTGGACATCAAGATCGTCGGAGTACATTGTGCGAGGATCGTGGCCAGTCATTATGATCACCTTATTAGGTGTATGTTTATGATCCTTCGATTCGGTAGTGTCTAAGATTCCCAAATCGGCAACTGACGATCTCACGTCACCGCACGACACAATCGCTACATTCGACATCAACCTGAGCTACGGGTATCTCCTATCTGCATCCCGTCATTTTTTCTCTCTCGCCCTGACCCACTCGTTCGTACTCGCTCGTCGCCATGCGAGAGGCTAAGCGCCTAGCGGCGTCGCTGCTGTCGCCCGGCAATCCCCGTTCGCTGCTCTTCCTACAGCTGCTGCTCGTCCTCCCCTGCGTCATCATCGTCACGCTGCTCTTTTCCATCCCGCGCGCCTACAAGCCTTCCAAGCCTGGCCTCATCTCGCAGCGCTTCGCCGCCATCAACGCCGAGCTGGCCACCGTCGCCGTGCCGGCCGCTGCCGCCGGCGGCGCAGACGGCGACGGCGGCGGCGGAGCCGCTGCAGCCGGCAACGCCGCCGCAGCCGCCGCCGCGGCGCTGGCGGCGAAGCAGCAGGAGCCGGTGCGGGCGATGGACGTACACGTGGCAGTGACGGACACGAAGGCGACCAAGGCGGAGGCTGCGCGGAAGCAGGCGCAGGCGGAACAAGCGCGCAAGGCGCGGCTGAGCGCGCTGGTGCGCGGCAAGACGTCGTGCGGATGCTTCCAAACGATCTCAGGCCCGGGCGGCGCCTTCCACGTAAGGCCGCCCCGCCCCTTTCTCCTCTCCTTTCTCCCTTCTATCCCCCCACCCCCTCTCTCTCCGCCACGTCTTCCCCACTATCCGTCCCACCCCCCTCTCTCTCCACTATTTCTCCCCGCCTATCCCCTCCGCTTCAATACCAACCAAGAGCTGTCTGTCTGTGGAGTGCAATTATAGCCCTTCTAGGGGAAGTTTCCAACGAGGATATTATGGAAGCAGCATTACTGATGGGTTCATTCAATCCAAACGCGCATATGAAACATTCACGAAACATGGGGCAGGGACGTCTTATGTAAAAAAAACTCTAATTCCTTCTCCTCTGCAGCTCCCCTCACCCTCTCCCCTACCCCCCTTTCCCCCTCTCCGCCCACCCTTCCTCCCACAGTACAGACCTCTCAGCGCCACCCTCTCTCCCCCACCTCTCTTTTCTCTCCCCACCCCCGTCCTGACCAAAACTGAGGCGTGTGCCGCCCTGAGCAAAGTCCATGCCTAGTCCGGCCAATTTCCGAGGCGTTTCAAGGCACACGCTTACCTCCATTTCTCTCCCGCTCCCCACCCAACTCCGCCCCCCCCCACTCCGCCCACATGTCCATCTTGACTCGTTCCCCAAACCCCTTTCAGCTGCGTTTGCCTGATACTCCGTTGTCCTCAGTTTTTTCCACCACTCACTCACCTAGTACGCTTTCTTTCTGCGGACGAACAAGCTCCGAGCCCCATCTCTTCTCTTGTGGCGAGGCGAGACAGTGTGCTCTCCTGCCACACCGCCACTCACACACCACACTCACCTTGTGCCCCCTCGTCCCTTGTTTCCCCGTCTTCTCCACCTGCTCTTCACCCCTCTTCCGCTTCCCCCGCACGCACCCCACCAGGTGATGTGCACGTGCCATCTCCTCTGACTTTTAGGACGTCTCAACTCCCCTTCTTCTTCCCCTTCCCCTTCCCCTTCCCCCACACCACCAGGTGATGTGCACCTGCAATCTCCATTGACTTTTGGGACGCCTCAAATGCCTTGGATGTATTCGGTAATTTGCTTGTGCTCTTTCCCCTTCCCCTTCCCCTTCCCCTTCCCCCTTCCCCTTCCCCTTCCCCTTCCCCTTCCCCTTCCCCTTCCCCCACACCACCAGGTGATGTGCACCTGCAAGCTCCTCTGCTGGGACGGCCGACAGCTCATAGCACAAACCGCCAACCCCGAAGCCCCCATCCCCTGCAACCAGCTCACCTCAGACGTGTCCCCAGACGCGCCAATCGTAGCCCTCCATTGCCAGGCCAAGATCAACGGCCAGGATCCGCTCGATCTGGTCCGGAAGGCCGGGGAATTCCGGCCGATCACAACCCGACCGGCTGACTGGATCAGCACAAGGAAAGGGCCGGTGGCGTGGAGGCTAGGCAGGTCGTTCATCCAGAGAATGGAGGCTGGAACAGAGGACGTTTCGGCCTTTGTCGCGCGCTTCTTCCCCATTCTGCTCGTGAACAACGCGACGGTCCCCGCGCTGCTGCCACCCGTGCACCGGTTTGTGTTCCCCCGGGATTCGTACTATCGTGCTGTGCTGAAAGGGTTAGGCCCGGACGGGTTCCAAGTGGGTGTACTGGAGCAGCTGCTGGGAGCGGCTTTTGAATCAAGTGAGGGGGGAAAGAACGGTTCTGCTGGTGGCGCTGCTGCTGGTGGTGCGGGTGGTCGTGCAGGCAGCAGAGATTGGGAGAGAGCTAATTTGCTCGATCCCCAGGAGCCGACAGTGCAAGGGCAGGAGGGGGGAGAGGGAGCGCGTGTGGAGGACGAGGAGGGGCGCAAGGTGGAGTTTGAGGGGCAGTGGGGGGCAGCCACAGAGGATGCTCCTATGTGCTTTGAGCATGTGGTGCTGCCGGGAGTGCTGGATGGGGTGATTTACCCCTTGGGTCGCATTCAGGCGGAGATATTCCTGCACAAGGTGGATGCTAAGTTGGGAGTATCCTCTGCCGCTAAGGCTGATGCTGCTGCTGCTGCTGCTGCTGCAGCTGCTGGTGCTGATGATACCACAGCACCGGCTTCAGCTGCTGCTCCGGCGTCCTCAGCTTCGGCCGAACCAGCAGCCGACACAACCAGCGCCGCGGCCATCTCCCTGCCTACAGCCTCGCACGTGGTGTTGGTGCGGCAGGCAGACGCTGCAGTGCGGTCTATAGTCCCAGACAGCCTAGAAGCCCTCATTAAAAACCTCCAGACAAACCTCTCGTTCACCGTGAATGAAGCCGCGATGCGCGATACCTCCTTCTCCCGCTCCTACTCCGCTATTCGCAGCGCGGACATCATCCTGGGGTTGCACGGGGAACAGCTCGCAACGGCCGCTGCGTTCGCCGTCCGGGAAACCCCCGTGATTGAGATCATGCCGTTCCATGTGTACTCGCCTCGGTTCGAGTCCCTCGTGCTGTCTTCCGGTCTCCCGTATTTCCAGCACCAGTGTAATCCCGGCCCTTTCTGGCCCTTCAACCCTGCTGCTGCTGATGCTGCTAAGCGCCCGCCTGCCACTGCGACCCAGGGACTGCCTGCTGCTGTGATCAATGAGATAAGAACGTGGGCAGAGGCCGATGTGGCTTTCCTGAATGTGACTGTAGCGGATTGCTTTGTGGAGAGCATAACGGGGGCGGGGGGGGTCGCGGCGCTGGGGTGCCGGAAGCATTTTCTCAAGGACCGCCCGGTGCGGCTCTGGGAGGAGGATATCGCGGGGATATCTCTGCTGGTGTCCCTAGCACGGAATATTTCCCAAGCTGCCACCACGGGAAAGAGCATCGTCCATGCAGCTGATTCATCGGCCTCCTCTTCTTCTTCGTCTTCTTCTTCCTCCTCGGCTGGATCTGCTCAGCATTTGTCTGCATCAGGGGAATCGGCAGTGGGGGCAATGATGAACGGGGAGTTGGAGGGGGCGTGTGTGGGGCGTGGGCTGGACCTGGGGTATTGCCGGCAGGACTTTGTGCAGCTGCCTTGGGGGAGTGGAGAGGTAGTGCTTACATCGGCGCGTGGAGTGGGTTCGGGGGATGCGGGTGGGGGTGTGGGTGGTGCTGCTGGTGCTGGTGCTGCTGCTGCTGATACGGTGAATGGATCAGAGTGTGTGGTGGCGAGGAAGTGTTGGAATCTGGAGGGGTGGGTGCAGGCAAGGTAGGGGGGAAGAGGGGTGGGGGGGGTGAGGGGTGGGGAGGATGAGGAGGCGGAGGCAGGGCCAAAAATTGGTTTTGGGGCACTCTGCCATATCAGGGTCCCCCTGGCCCCTTTGCCTGACAGTCAGGGTGAAAAAAAAATTGCCCAGTGCTAATCAGTGTATTTTGGCCAGTATTCTGTCTTTGTAAGGGTATTTATGGAACCACCCTGAATGCAAGAGCAAAATCCAAATGCCACTACCTCATACGGTACTTGTGGTGTGGTGTGTTTTGTAGAGCTGACAGTGCGAAAGTGACTGCTGGGGCCAGTTTTGTAACCCATCTCGGTCGAGTGGCCACACGGGCCCTGTTGCACAGAAACGACACGAGGGAAGTCTGTTTCAGTGCATTTCAAAAAGTACCCTGACTCGTCAGGGGAAAACTAGGGGAGGCCTGATTTTGAAAGTGTATTTCAAAAACTACATTTTTACAGTCAGGGTCGTTTGGCAAATACACGTACGGTACTAAATCAGGGCAATCCTGGAAAAGCGGCCCATAGCAAGGGTAAAACACCCTTGAATTTTGGGCCCTGGGCGGAGGGGAAGGGGATGGAGAGGAGGAAGACAAGAGGGGTGAGGTGAGTAGAAAGACCCCGCAAGGTGATTGGATGGTGGAGGACGTGTAGGAATCGGGGATGAGATAGGCCCTCTGATCTCAGTACAACTTACTTTCAACATTGTCTTTGGTGAGGTTTTCCTTTAATCGAGTATAAGGCATTTTGACTGCCCCTGGACCAGCTTAAGGTGTATCAACCTCGTCACTTAGCAAAATACATGCGCATAAGGGGATTATACAGGAAGTGCTACATATAAGAAAAGGTGGAAATGGCTACTCGTTTCTGAAAATGGAGCATGTTAGCGCGAGAACTTAAATCGGTACGTTTGTAGGTGCAAGGTCGCACATGTCGGCCCGCCAAATGTTGGAGTTGCGACAGACACAGTGCGTCAATTGGTGCTGGCGAAATCGCGCGCATCGGCGAAAATCGTGTTTGTCTCAATTGAGTCGACCTAAATTGCTCACCGCTCGCCACGTGGGCGTTTCTCTAAATTGAATGGACCTCCCTTCCCCCCGCCCCCCCCAGCCCCCTTTTCCCGCCCTTTCCCCACCGTCATTCGGGCAGCCGCATGCTCTCGCGTAAAACTCACAAAGAGTCACCATTTCCAAATTCCAGGGTTCCGCCACACTTTCGCCACGGGTGGTTGTTCTTATTGGTCGAAAAATTGGTGATTTGTTCAGCGCGCCAGAGTAACATGCACTGGCTCCGTTTGGACGCGCCAACGTTATAGGTAGTGTAACAACGACATGGAGTGGTACCTCGATACCGATCATGTACGGTAATGTACAACCAGGCGACCAATCGACGGTCATGCTCGAGCATGAGTTCTGACCAATAGCCGAGGGCGGATTTGACAGCGTACATGAACCTAATCCTGCGTTCATGAAACTTATCCTCGCCGCCAACCTCTGAACATGAGCTTTCATGCCACATCACGACCGTCACAGCTCCCCTCTCTCGTACCCTTTCCCTCTGTGATAGCTATCACCAATCATCCAACCTTTGTGCTCTTTGTGGTTTGTTTCTTGTACTCGCGATACCTTAGTCATTGCAAATTGCCAGCTATTCGGTGGCGTTTAGCGTTCTGGGCGTGTGATGGATCTTCGTAGCAAAACGGTCCTCGGTAAACGGCAGGATGAGTCGGGCCACGAGGAATCCGACGGCGGTGAATCGCACGATTCGGACGTCAAGCTCGTCACCGACGAGCACGGGAAAGGCAGGAGAAAGGGGAAGCAACGGAAAGGACCGGAGAAGCAGCATAGCACCGGTGGCTTCAACTTCAAAACCAACATAGTGAACAAGGAGGTGTTGCCGCCCGTCTATGACATCATCACCGCCTTCACCAAAGGTCGTGGGCCGCCAGCTCAAACTAAAGGCTGTTGCGGCCCTACCATCAAGAGTCAGCACTTCCCAACGAAGCCGTTGTACAACGCCCTCGGCCAAAACGCCTTCGTGAGCCCTCTCGACGCGATGCGCATTCAGGATGGATACGAGCTCAGCACGGCGTTAATCGACTTCCACAACATGTGAGTGCGTTGTTCCCGCGGGTAAGCACGCTCACACTATACTGCCGGCGCCTAACACCGGCTCTCCGTGTATGTGTATTCACCCCGCGCAGTTTGCTGAGCATCAGGCATTCCAAAACACCAAGCGGGGAGACATGGGTTGCGCTTGACACTGGAGCGTATCTGATGGCGGCGAATCAACAGGTTCTCTTCACTGGATTCAAGGGCGGCACCATCCTTGACTACAACTACGTCCTTGTAGTTGTTACTACACTGTAAGACATGCATGCACAATCTCGATGTACGCGCGTACCGCGGCATCGCCATGCTGTGTACTTACATTTACGTTGGTATTGTGGCAGTGAGCCAAGGCATTTCAGCCTTGTTGTTGTCAAGGAGCCTGGCAGGGCAAGAACAACTACTATAAAATCGGGGAACACGGAGCTTCCGGTGGCCTACCTGTTCGACTCGACTGGTGATCATCGGAACATGGCTCCGTCGGTGTTCGCCGAGATCCAAACGTAAGTTGCACGGGCATGCATCGCCTCCTAAGTTTCGTCGTGCTTATGATCGCATGGTTGCTTCGCCGCTTGTAATGCACTAATGCATGCATTGTTGCTGTGTCCAGGCTGCTCGGTCTGGCGCTACAAGCCGAGGAGCCCGGCCTCTCTGCCACCGCAATCAAGCAGCGGCTTGATCCGATGCCTTGCGTCCCGCTTGGGGTAAGCACTCAAATCTTTCGCGTAGCTTTTTTTTAACAGACCTCATCCATGGAACGTCCATCAATGTTGCTCACCTTGTTTGTGTTCGCGTGTGCAGTACTATCAGTGCCCGATGCAGGCCAACCAAGTAGACTGTGGTGTCTACGTTTGCATCTACGCATCTGAGCTGGTTGCCCGTGGCTTCGCTAATCTGGACGATGGGCTGCCAGCCTTGCCCTATGGTGGTGGCCTTTTCCGGAGGGGGATGCGTGCGGACATAGTCGAACATGCACTCAAGCGGTTGATCCCAACCCTAGAGAGGTCTGGAGTTATGGTGCCCCACCAAGATCCGCCGCTCAGCAAGCGCGTGAACAAGCCAGTGTCTCCGGAGCTGGCCGAAATCGACGCGAAGCTGCGTGATGCTGTCGGCGACATCCACAACATCACCTGCCGCGTGGGGTACTGTGAGAAAGACATCGCCAAGCTCGAGCTCCTGGTGGAGAGTCTCACCAACGACTTGTCCACCACCCGCGACGAGCTCACCGCGTTGTCTGCGCAAGTTGCAGCCTTACCAGCACCGCCGCAGCAGGGGCGTATTGGAGGAGCGGGCGGACCCAGCGCGAGAACCGACGACCCTGCCACCCAGCAAATTCTGGCGCCGACTGCGCAACTCGAGCAGCAAGGGGATTCTCATCAGATTCAAGCGGCCCACGGCGTTATCAACGGGCTGATGCCCGGTACGACCGGCGATGCATTGACCTCGTCTCGTTGCGGTGCGCGCGGTGGAGCTCTGCCTGCCCCTTCGGAGGATCACTCTGGGTGTATGGGCCTGCCGCCACCGCCATCACACTCTGTCGGGGGAGTGGTTGGATCGGGGGAGTACGCGGGTGTTAGGCACCTCCCAGACGGAACTTGGCAAGCGAAGATTGTCCCTGAGCCCGGGTCATCAAGGACGCTGATTCTTGGCCACTTCCAAGACCAGCAGCAAGCGGCCCGCGCGTTCGCTGCAGCTGCAGCCGTGCTCAGGCGGAGCAAGCCTCCCCGGGGTCGTGTGTGGCAGCTCACCGGCGAGGAGATGGACCTGCTGGATGGCTGCACGGCCGACATCGTGCGGCAGCTCACTACCGCACGCGTCTGGGGGCGGTGGGAAAGGTGGCGCGTCGAGCTTGCTTCCCTCGGTGGTGCCAACCCCGCCCCTACACCCCCCGCTGTCGTGGCAGCAGCGCCAACCGCACCCGCAGCTGCTCCAACTACACTTGCCCCGGCGAATGTAGGCATCGCCACTCCTGCCGTGGCTCTTGCACCTGCACAGCCCACCCCTCCCGGTGGAGCTACTGCTGTGCACGTCGCAACAACTCCTGTGCCTGCGGGGGTTACTCCCGCCCCACCAGCCCATTCTACGCAAGCCACATTGACCAACCCCCCTGTGCAGGCCGATGTGGTGGCGTTTGCCTCGCTGTCGTTGCCAGAGAGCGACGAGGGGGATGTGGGCAACAACGCAACAACCCACCCGCCAGGTATTGATTAGACCAAGCGGGGTGTTGTTATGCATCAGGGTGCGCACTAGCCAGAGTTTAGACATTAACCTGCTGTTCTCGTCTTCAGTGTGTCAGAGCCCAACAGCTGAGGAACGTGTGACGATGATCCAATGCGTCATATCGGCGTGTAATCTCTTTTCCTTGGAGCTGATTTTCATGAACACCATGCTGTTTTTCGCACTATGGCCTTTGTTGCTCTTTGCGGGGTTTGTAGGACTGTAGCATTAACAATATGTTGAACTGCTGGCTGTCAGCCTTGTTTTTGAGTTCACTAAAGACCCCAACCTGGCGGCAACAAACCCAAACGATAGCGCACCAGCTCACCAGCCGGCCCAATGTGTGGTGACATGGGAGTACGGCCTACGATCATGACACCACAGACCATCATGAACTCGTCGATAGTCATGCGCGATTTTTCATGACGCGTGGTGGTTCCGCACGCCACACCGCCACGAATTATCACCCCCCGACTGCGCGACCCGATAAGCTATAACGATCGGGTACCAGTGACAAATCGTGGCTTTTTATAACGGCGTCTGCAACACTTTTTATTTCGGTTGTAGAAATGCAGAGGAAACAACTCAAACAGTGACAACGGCCATGAACACGGGTTTAGGGGCCATAAACGGTGTCTAAGGTCTCACAGAATTGATAATGCCGTGTTCCACAACCCCGGCGCAAGACACTTGCTTACAGAGAGTAACATGGTACAGCCGAGTTTTCGTAAAACACTATTTTTTCACTGGTTGTCCCGAGTACGCATAGTACCCCGCCTCGGGGTCTGTGGTGTGCGATTGGGAGCCTTAATCAGAGTTTTGCATTCAGCCCTTGAGCTCAAGGGCTCATCACATCATGGTCAGTGGTGTGCTTTGGACTAGCATCATCTCCTGGTCAGTGGTACGCCAGTGTCTACCTTACTGAGGTGATCCTGAGGAAATTATGAACAATGACAAAAGTAGCAAATCTCATGCTCCATGTAACGTAGTGCTGCTTTTTTACCAGAGTTATGGGGTGCGTGCTGTAAGTATCGTGGCTGCTGTGGGATCAGATTTGTTGCTATGGTGTTTTTCTGGGCGCCACAGTTGCGTGTTAACATGCAGTCAATGTTAGGAGTGTTAATTATACCGGTGGCATTGTGCACGCCATATTTTATTAGAGATTGAGGGTGTTTAATTTTCCACAACACCGTCACAACGAATACGCACATCGAATGACACGCAATAAAGGGGACATTCTCGGTTCATGTTCCTTCGCGCAAATTAGGGTCAACCTCGACGACGAATCATGTTGCAGGCATCACGTCCATGAGAGTTCATGTTCGTCCGTGCAGGTAGTCAACTTCCGAGCCACTCCCACGAGTTTGTTCATGATTCAAAGTGTAGGCATTCACGCGCGACTTCCAGGCCCCGCGCTTGTTAGCTGTTCGAATCATGACAGGTCGAGATGCGTTCACGCACTATGAAACATACATGATTCGTCATGAACAGCTGCGCGGCATCGCCCCGCGATTTCCCGGCCCTCGAATCATGCATGTACAAGGGTCGATCATGACGCTCTATGCACAGGTGATGGAGAAAGCAGACGGAGTCAAGTGCACACTTTACACACGTGAATCGCCCAACTCGTGGCCTGATTTGTTTGGGTCTTGTTGAATAAGTATTGCACAGCAGCACTACTCAAACGAACTATTATGTTTCGTGAATTAAATCATTCAGTACTCTCGTCACTGAAAAGTATGCTTCGGCAGGGATCCAAGGACACAAAACAAGGCCCAATACTCGCATGGGAAAGCCTGTTTTACTCGCCATTCATTCAGGGGCAGCCTGGTGCCCCCCTCCATGCTCTCCTGTACCAGTTCCATCCTCCCCCTCCTCCTCCTCCTCCTCCTCCTCCTCCTCCTCCTCCTCCTCCTCCTCCTCCTCCTCCACCTCCTCCCCCACCGCAGCCTGCGCCTGACCGTACCCACCGTACTTGTACTTGCACCTTTTGCGGTTGTGCCCATACTGTCGGCATCGCCCACACCGATAAGCGTGCGGCGGTGCCTCGAACCGGGTGTGATTCTCTGGCCTCCCAACCCTCGTCTCAATCAGCGCTGGTGCATCGCACTCGCCCACTTCTGCCAGTGGAGCCTCCATAATCAGCCGGTCCACACAGGTACCCATCACATCCCGGTTGTATGTCTGGCGAAGATTGCGAGTGGTGTAGTACTCAGACACAAGGATCTCCACACTCCGCTGCTTCAGAATGCACATTGCCACGGCGTGGGCACAAGGGAACTGGTACTCCTCCCAGTTCCCGCACTCGCACGTCCGGGCATCGAGGTTCACGTTGAAGCTCCGCCACTGGAACTCGTTTTCCCCCCCCCTGGTCTGGATGGTTCCCACAGAGTTGTCCCCACCGATGAACCAATACCCCTGGCACCTCTGCTTCTTTTGGTCCAGTCGTTTCGCTGCGGCAGCCGTGAGATACTCATCCCTGCAGCGCGCCTTCTCCTTCCTCTCGTACCACTTGTCGCGAGACCAATCCCAAAGGGATGCCAGCAGCCATGTTGGTGGCAGCATTCGGATGCCGCGGACAGCGCTGTTGATGGACTCGGCGGCGTTGCTTGTGTAGATGCCAAAACGCAGTGTCACCGCAAAAAGACGGGCCCAGTGCAGCAGCATGATTCCCCCTATGCGATAAGATGATCCGCGCCTGTTACGATAGAACCCGGTGCGCACATGTATTCCGGGTTCTCCCTCACCATCGGCCGCCTCATCCCCATCCTCCCTAGCATCCACTGGCACCGGATCATCCTCACATGCTGGCTCGTCCGGCCCTTGCGCAGGAATGTTCTCCCGCTGCCTGCAGTCTGGCCATGGCAGAGCAAGAGCCGATGCTGGGTGGAAGTGCTCAGTAAACCCACCCATCTCTGATCCCTGAGTGCCCGTGGTCCTCCCCGTGTCAATGTCCTCTGCCCGGTACCACTCCCGGGCACGTCGCAGGACCGTGTTGACGTCAAATGCTCGTGCACCCAGGTTCCCCACAGTGGTGAGAGCGCCTATCCCATCACCCGTGGAGCATGATGCCAAACCATTATCACGCACAGATGCTGGAGCTCGCTGCACGTCGCCCCCAGAGGGCACTGGTGAGCCCCCCCTTCCAACGGACCCCACCCCACCCATGAAATTAGCGCCCAGGCCAACCCCAAACGTAACATCACCGCGTGGCCCGCTTTGGTGTCGCCTGCGTCCTGCAGTCTGAGGACTGGGCCAAGACCCTACCAATTCACCGCTCGCAGCATATACACTATCTCTTGCTCCAGGGCCGAACAACGGCTCCCCCCCATCCGCACTCCCGATGCCTGACCATCTTGCTTCGGCGCGTCCTCGCCCTCCAAAAGCATCACCAAGCGGGACTCCTCTCCCTACACCTCCAATGCCTGACCATCCTGCTCCGGCCCCCATCTGCCCTCCAGGAGCCCCACCAAGCGGGACTCCCCTCCCTCCACCTCCAATGCCGGACCATCCTGCTCCGGCACCCCCCTGCCCTCCAGGAGCCCCACCAAGCGGGACTCCCCTCCCTCCACCTCCAATGCTGGACCATCCTGCTCCTGCACCCCCCTGCCCTCCAGGAGTCCCACCAAGCGGGACTTCCCTCCCTCCACCTCCAATGCCGGACCATCCTGCTCCGGCCCCCATCTGCCCTCCAGGAGCCCCACCAAGCGGGACTCCCCTCCCTCCACCTCCAATGCCGGACCATCCTGCTCCGGCACCCCCCTGCCCTCCAGGAGCCCCACCAAGCGGGACTCCCCTCCCTCCACCTCCAATGCTGGACCATCCTGCTCCTGCACCCCCCTGCCCTCCAGGAGTCCCACCAAGCGGGACTTCCCTCCCTCCACCTCCAATGCCGGACCATCCTGCTCCGGCCCCCATCTGCCCTCCAGGAGCCCCACCAAGCGGGACTCCCCTCCCTCCACCTCCAATGCCGGACCATCCTGCTCCGGCACCCCCCTGCCCTCCAGGAGCCCCACCAAGCGGGGCTCCCCTCCCTCCACCTGCAATGCCGGACCATCCCGCGCCGGCATCCCCCTGCTCCCCGGCGGCCCCACCGAGCGGCACTTCCCGTACTCCACCACCAACCCCCGTGAAGTCTGATCCGGCACCCCCCTGCCCTCCGCAATCGCCCGCGGAGGGCACTCCTCTACCTCCCCTGCCAAGGCCTGCCCCTGCAACGCCACCGCCTCTCCCTCTGCGACCACGTCCAGATGAAGCTCGTCCTCGCCCTCCACGGCCGATGCCAAAAGCAGCCGCTCCGCCATCCCCTTCGTCTGGTATCCCTGATGGGACTCCAATACCCTCGTGCGCTCTGGCCCGTCTTCCAGGTGCGTTCACCCCCCCCCTGCCAGCCAGACCGCCGCCACGCCTGTTGTACGCGGACGTGTTGCCCTCCGGGAACCCACTCCCTTCGGGTTGGGGCGCGGTGTCGACGCCACCATTTCTCGCGTTGCCACCACGCTCCTGCCCTCGCTGTGCCCTCCTCCCTTCGCGAGCATCCGCGAACACGAAATCCCTGGCCCCCTCAAATGTTGCCCGGGCTCCAGGAGGGGGGACCTGAGGAGCCGGCTGGGGTTGTGGCTGTGGCTGCTGCCGGACAGGCCCGAACAGATATGCGGCCATGTCAGGAAAATCTTGTCGTGCGGCCCCGACAAGCGCAACCCATTTCGTTTCAGACCGACACTTCACCAAGCGCCAGAAGAACGCTGTTGCCGCTTTGCCGAACCGCTTAAGGTTCTGCTCCAGATGCCAGGCACAGAAATAATGGGGGATGTGGCTTGGCATCACCTCCCTTGCTGCCGGCACCAACCCCTTATCGCGATCGCTGATGATGGAGGCATCGTCCCTATGCGCCCACTCCGGGAACCCCTCAAGGAACAGCTTCAGAAACCAGGTCCACGCGTCCTTGTTCTCCGACTCCACCAAGGCCCATGCAAGTAACAAAATCTCCTGGTTCCCGTCAATGGTGACGGCGATGAGCAGCACAGCCTTCTGCGCACTAATGAGATGTGTACCGTCGAGCGCAACAACCGGGCGGCAATAATTTAACGCATGCCGTGCTGCAGAGGGACGCACGTAGAATCGGTGGAAACACCGATCTAATGTGTCCAACCGCACTTGAACTTCCGGATCGATGACTGTGAAACGAGTGAGAAGCCACGGAACCTGGCGAAAGGACTCCTTCCAATCTCCATATCGCTCCTTTAAGATGTACTCTCGAAGCCGCCAAGCCTGCCAGTAGTGGATCACTACCTTTCCATGACCCTCGAGCATTCTTTTGAGCTCCACGGGTGAGATGAAAGGATTTGCACGGACCAAATTGCCGTATCGCCGAGCGAGGATGGGAATAGTGTTGGCTAACCCCTCGGCGTAACCCTGCCTCCAATGCAACGGACACGTATGCATCTCCGGAGAAACGAGTCGCGTAATACGCCATAAACCACCGTGGCCGATTTGCCCATATGTGCAGCTCCATAGGCACGCGGGTAACCATCCGTCCGATGAAGCCTTGCATCCAACCACTCCGAAGTTATGCTTCACTAAAAGGACTTTTACACCAAACCGATGCTCTAGAGCGTACGCATAAACGGCCTCCTTGCATTTATCACGGCTAGAGTACAGGCCCCCCAGCTCCAATGGAGCGTAATCATTAGGCCTGTCGTACCTAGGGTTGAACTCGGGAGCCGCATTAAGCTGTCGCAAGGCCTGCGCTAAGGGATTAGAGGCCATACGCACGCGTTAGACGCTACATGGTGACCAGTTTTGTCAGAGATAAGCTATGACTATTGAGTGGAGTACTAATGCGGGCCCGGATATGAGTTGCCTAAAGTAATGACTGCGTTGAGTGTCTACCCGGTATTGTAAAACGGGAGACTCGCCTAAGCTTCACAGGAACATGATGCTAACGGAAGGGTTCATGAACCGTTGAGGATCACGAATGCTTCGATCATGAAACCGTGAAGGCCGGAAATGACATGGCCAGATCCCGAAGGACACAGTACAATCAACCTGTATATAAGCCTCTCGAGTTATAATACATGGCCCAGAAAAATACAAAAAAATTGCTGGGACAAATGATGTGGCTGCCTGCACGTTCAATTACACGTGGCATGGGGTTGGTTGGTTGCTTTTCGTGACTGCTTGTGGCAATTCCGAAGTTCACGCGAGAGCATGCAGCTGCCCGAATGACGGTGGGGAAAGGGCGGGAAAAGGGGGCTGGGGGGGCTTGGGGAAGGGAGGTCCATTCAATTTAGAAAAACGCCCACGTGGCGAGCGGGGAGCAATTTAGGTCGACTCAATTGAGACAAACACGATTTTCGCCGATGCGCGCGATTTCGCCATTGGTGCTGCTGCTCTGACGAACCGCAGCCCTGGCACTCAATTCAACCAACGCGGCTCGACGGAGGCACAGCAAGAAAGAGTGGCCCACAGGTTTTGACGCCGTGTGCCAACGGTAGGCAACAAGCTCCTACAGTAGTACCTACACAATAAAGGGAAAGTAGCTTTCGCAGGGGTACTACTAGCGACTCTGCGCTTTCAAGTGGACTACAGCGCTATATGCGGGCACTTTCCGCCACTCCGCCACTCCGACAGGAACATTATGGCAACAACACAGAACTCGGTTCCAAATTCACCCACGTGTCACAAATTTCGCAAGCCACCGGAAAAAAATAGAACTAAAACCCAATCGGGAAGGGATGCGTCTCGGGGAGGCATCAGCCCTAGAAAAATGTGGGTCCCAATGTTTAGGGTTGATTCCTCCCGAAAATGAGTCCAGGTTCCCTATGGGTTTTATATTTTTTGCCGTGCGTTTTATAACTTTCCAAATTTGTGACACGTGGGTAAATTTGGGGAGGAGTTCTGTGTTGTTTCTATAATTTTCCTGTCTGAGGTACAGAGGGGCGGAAAGTGCCCCCAGCTGGGACTGTAGCTACATAGAAAGCGCGGGGTCCCTAGTAGTACCCCCGTGAAAGCTAATTACCCCACAATAAAGTATGCGCGCGAGATCCACCCTGTTTCGCACTCAACCGGGCATACGTGGTAGGACACAGAAATCGGCTTCAAGTCGGTTAGGTTTGAACCAAGCTGGGTTTGTGCAGGCCATCCTGTGCCCTTCGGCCGCTCACAAAAACGGGAGGGCCTCGTACTATGTACTTAAACGTTTTGCTACATTCAATTTACCGGTACTCTATGCAGCATTGTATCTACAATGTAGCCGAACTATTCTGGGCCGGGTGCAGCGAATCAATCACTGACTGCTCGCTTTCAAAGCGGTTCGACTCAGAGTCGGCTCTGCTACGTACCATGGATTCAAAGACGGCAGGCGCCGCTTTGGACTTGCTTCCTCATGCGGCATTGACTACCTTTTCCGCATATAGTTCTCCAAAGTTGGAACTCGAGCAGGCCGTAGAAACATCCCGCTTGAAAATAGTAGGAAGCGCGTTTGAAGCATTTACTACCCTCAGAAACACCGACCCCTCGGCGAGAGTCAGTGGAGCGGACTCAGTAAGAGGAGAGTCAGAGAGCTGGAGCCTGAGGTTGGCAGGTTGAAAAACAATCACCAAGATCATCAAGATATGATTCGAGACGCAAATTACGCTCGGGAAGGGAGTGGCGTGTGCGGGTTATTCGGGAAAGTCTCCGAGCGCGTCGACTTGGCTGTTCCGCGGGACTTGCCACAACCAGTGGTTGTGGACGTGACCCGGAGCCGCTGGCGCTGCCGCCTCTTCATTAGCTTCCTTCTCGCGCTGCTCGCTGTGCGCGCAGCTGTGCAGCTGTGGCCGCGCCACGCGGAGCAAGGCGATGATAGGCGGGACAGCCAGCCGCCCGTCGCGGGTCTCGAGGAGATGAAACTCGCCGGCAGCGGCGGTGACGGGCTCCCAAGGTGCGTCAAGCTTAGTGGACGTCTTGGTACGGGCGTCATATAGTATATGATATAGAAAACTTTAGCCCGTTAGACGAGCTTAGTGTGCGTGTGACAAGCTTAATGTGCGATCGACATTTCGCGTTACGTAGACGCCGGATGTATACAGCTTCGCGGACTTCACGTCAGCATTCCCGACGCAGGATGTCCCCCTCTGCTTTCCCCCACCTCCTCTCCCCTTCCGCTTCTTGCCCCCCCTCACCCCCCACCCTCCCCTTTCACCCCCAATGCGCAGTTTCTCTCCTTGGCCTCCCGCCGCCACTCCCCCGGCCTCGCCTCCCCCTCTGTCCCCGAAAAGAGCAGACTCGTTTCAAGTGGATTCCCGGCCGTTGAGAGCACCATCACCACAGCCGGCGGTGACTGAGTCACAACAAGTCTCGCCAGATATGATATCACCGCTACAGCTTGTAGCAACCCCGGGATCGCGACAACTGCTTGAAAAGCCCAAGCTACAATTTCAGCCGTTAGATTCAACTGGTTCTGGAACGCAAGCATCCGATCAGCCGTTGAAACCGATCACTCAACCGCAACCGTTGATTACGTCTGCCAGAGGCACGTCAGAGAATGTAACTGCGGGTATGCTGGATGCTGACGTGGCAATTGAGCTGTACAGTGCTGCGGTGGGTTCTAGTATGGCATCTAATGGCGGTGACGTGTCTCCACCAGTCGTATGGGTTCCCTGGAATCCGGATTCTCCCCTTTGCTGGACGTCCACGTCAGAAAACCCGTCATCCCCGTTACTATCAGCAATAGGACCCGCTATTGGGCTCGGGGGGCTGTTTGTATACGGCAGCGGCTGTTCAACCTGCACTGTAGGCCAGACCTGCACGTTCTTCATAAGCGTCGAGTCGTCAGGCGCCACGTCACGTGGACACTCCCTCCCGTTTTCGAGAACAACACCACCGCCACCACCAGCACCAGCAGCAGCAGCAGCACCAGCAGCAGCACCAGCAGCACCAGCAGCAGCAGCAGCAGCAGCAGCAGCAGCAGCAGCAGCAGCAGCAGCAGCAGCAGCAGCAGCAGCAGCAGCAGCAGCAGCAGCAGCAGCAGCAGCAGCAGCAGCAGCAGCAGCAGCAGCAGCAGCAGCAGCAGCAGCAGCAGCAGCAGCAGCAGCAGCAGCAGCAGCAGCAGCAGCAGCAGCAGCAGCAGCAGCAGCAGCAGCAGCAGCAGCAGCAGCAGCAGCAGCAGCAGCAGCAGCAGCAGCAGCAGCAGCAGCAGCAGCAGCAGCAGCAGCAGCACATCACCACCCAGCTATCCCTCAAACTCATCTGTGCTGAGCTGGTGGAAGCGCGAGCTCTCTCTCTCCCTCATCGGCCCCTCGCTGCTCCACGCCGACCCTGTTTGTGCCGACCCTCCCACCTGCTCCCGATTCGTCGCCGCTTACCGAGCCTGGGACGCTGGGACGTACCAGTGAGTGATTGATAGGTTTGAGGCGTCTCAACAGATGGGGGGTGAGTGGTGTTTGTATAAAATTGTTATAGTAATTGAGGGAACCACTGGAATTCTCTTGGTCAAGGTGACCAGGGGAATGGTTGTAGTAGTACCCGAGGTGACTCCTGAGTCCACCCAGGAAGGACCTGGTTGCGTTCCTGGGTGATTGGAGGTGAAGCTTAGTCGTTCTGTTAGTGATGGGATGGGTGACGTGATCTGGGTGAACCCCCTACACAATAACCCCCTGTCACCTTCGTTTCTTCTCGTCTCATTGTCTTGGGTCATTTTTGTCCTAGTCAGCTATGAAATTGTGATCTGTTTGAGCCCATTTACTCCTCCCCTCTCACATTTTTTCCAGAAAGTTCGTTATCTGTATTCTGCCCATGTGATTTTTTTTTATCTCATCTCAATCAATGTCTTCTCATCTCCTCTCATCCCATCTCATGTCGTCTCATGTCGTCTCATGTCGTCTCATGTCACAGGGCCTCCCTCCATGCAGGATGCTCCAACCTTCTGCTTGCACCCCACTCACCCCCCTCCTCCTCCTCCTCCTCCTCCTCCTCCCCCTCGCCTTCTTCCAACAACGCACCAAGCGGCGCCAATGAGGTGGCAGCATGGACCATCACGGTCCTACCATCCCGCACAACCCCTCCCAGCGCACCACCTACCTCTCAAAACGAAGCAGCATCCAGTAGCAAGGTTTTTACCCACCGGCTTTTGCGCGTAGCCACAGCAGAGCTGCCACGTGTCGCAGAAGCGAAAGCAGAGGAGTCTGAGAGCGAGAGAAGAAGAGAAGTGAGAGATGAAGAGGGCGAGACGCAGCTGACTGGTAGAGACAGCGAGCAGGAGAGAGAGGCGGAGAGGAGCAGTGGTCAGTGCAGAGGGTGAGTAATGGGGAGATGGCTTGAGATGGATCCAGAGAGTGAGAGTGACGACGCTGGCAGTGCCTATGCCAGTGCCAGTGACAGTGGCACCAGGGGCAGCAAGCGCAGCATGAGCAGCAAGAGCAGCATGAGCGACATGGGCGGCAAGAGCAGCACGGGCAACAGCACGTGGAAGTGGGTACCCTTCCCGTGTGCCCCGCCAGAGACTCCAGTGGGTGAGTGGATCTCGTCCCTCACCCGGTGCGGTATCCGGGAGATCTCGATCGCGGGGGACTCGCACCACCGCATGCTTGCGACGCACCTCTTCTACTTGCTGACGGGCGAGGCGGAGCTGCGGCACTGGATCGGCAAGCACGACCTGGCGTTTGTGGCGCGCAACGAGAGGAACGAGACGCTAAGGATCAACTACTACTGGGTGGATGGGATCTACCGCAACGACGAGTTCGGATGCACGTGAGTGCCCCCCCCCCCCCCCCCCCCCTTTGTGCCTGCCCCATGTTCTGCTCTTCTGCTCTTCTGCTCTCTGCGCCTTCTGCATCAACTACTACTGGGTGGATGGGATCTACCGCAACGACGAGTTCGGATGCACGTGCGTGCCCCTTGTGCCCACTCCCTCCGCTCTCTCCTCTCCCCTCCCCCCCCCCCCGGTCTAATGGATTGACTTTTTCTCATCATCTTTTACTACGAGGTTGGGATTTTCCATCCAGCCTCGTCGTTGCGGTAAATCCCGTCGTCGTTGGGTCTAATGGTTGGGTCTACCGCAACGACTAGGTTGGATGCACGCGGGTGGCTAAAATGCCCGTTCCCTCTTCCCCCCCCCCCCCCCCTCTCTCTCTCTGCTGGTTCCGCTTCAAATTTTACTGGGTGGATGGGTTTTGCCGCATCGACAAGTTCAGATGCACATGAGGGGGAGAGGGCTTGGATGCACGTGCGAGTTTTGGATCAGAAGAGAGTAGATTTAGGATTTCATGCGTGAAAGGGTTTGGACTCGCTTGCGAGTTGTGGAGTTTCTATCAGTCTCCTATTCGAAAGTGAGAGCTCAGATGCACGTGCATGTTTCCAAGTCTCTCTTGCTTGACATCTTAGAAGACTAGCTATAGCTGAAGCACTTGGGAGGCTATCGCTACCAAGCTGAAGAACCCGTGTATGCTTGTTCGCTTCGCATATCTGCTTTCTTCCCCTTTCCTCCCCTCTGCGCTTTTGCGGGCCTTCTGCTCCCCCAACGTCCAGTCCAGCAGTTTCAGCTTGGACGTTACTCCCCTTCAACCCCCTTCCAACGGCTCCTTTGGGGGACTGGTGGGAGCAGAGAAGCAGTTTCTGCTCCCCTTCAACCCCCTTCCCCTTGCTTCTCTGCTCCCACCAGTCCCCCAAAGGAGCCGTCTCACAACACTGCTACTTCTCAGCACTGCTGTCTCCCAACATTTAATGGCTTTAGCTTGTCCCATAACCATCTCATGATCTTCATCCCCATCCCTATCCCCATCCCCATCCCCATCCCCATCCCTATCCCCATCCCTATCCCCATCCCCATCCCCATCCCCATCCCCATCCCCATCCCCATCCCCATCCCCATCCCCATCCACATCCCCATCCCCCTCCCCCTCCACCCTCCAGGTGCCGAGGTGCTTATTCGCATCACTACGACGTCTTCCCCAACATCTCCCGCTCCAGTGACGTCATTATCATCAACAGCGGTTACTGGGCCGGCAGGCGTTGTCTGCACCCTCTCTCCGCCCTCCGCACCCACCTCCCTGAATACCTCGCCTGGGCCCGATTCCAAGCCGCCTCCGCGGCCACAGGCCCAGCAGTCACAGGCTCGGCAGCCACAGGCTCAGCAGCCTCAGGCTCGGCAGCCACAGGCTCAGCAGCCTCAGGCTCGGCAGCCTCAGGCACTCGGCGGGTTCGGCTGATCGTGCGCTCTGCACCGCCAGTGCCCAATGGCGGGGGCAGCTGCAGCATTGCGAGCCGCTTCTACGAAGGCCCCGCCACCAACCTCTTTCTCTCCGCTGCTAACCGCCTGACCAAACACCTGGTCGACCAGATCAACGCAGGCAGCAACGCTGTGCCTGCTGCTGGTCCTGGTACAGCTGACGGTTTTGTCCCCCGTATAGAGTTTTTCAACAGCTGGCAAGTGGAGGCGCCGCGGTTTATGGATGTGTGCCCGCACGACCATCACTACCACTGCTACGGGTTGGTCAGGCGGGGGAAGGTGGTGATGAGAGGTGGCGTGGGGGAGGCTGTTGTGAGGTCCTTGATTCATTACATAGAGCATGGGGGAAAGGAAAGGCACTGACGGGGGGGGACCCAAATTGCGATATAACGTACGTACGTACGTACGTATGTACGTACGTGGCAATAAGATGCCCCATGCCCAATGCCCATACTTGATCCTCCATCCATGAGGATACAGCAGCACGTAGTGGTGGCCAGGCCAGGCCATTGCCGCAATCCCACCTGCTGCTAACACCCTCCAATACGACTGTAAGGTCCTACATACCCGGGTTTCTCCCCGGCTCTTCCGTCAGGATCGCTTCACAGCTCGTGTCTGCGTATCGGGGCGGCATGATCATCTGTGGTAGAAGTTGCCAAATACGGTATGGCTCTGAAGTTCAGGGTGTTTTACCCTATTCATCCTGTTATACATAACGAAATTCTAACGGCAGGGAATGGTTATCGAGAGGTGTGAAAAAACTTCAAACAAGCACCGGGCCCGTACCTCGTGTGTGGGGAGGGGGGGGGGGGGTGGGGGGGGGTGGAGGGAGGGGGGGGATGTGGGATGGGAACAAAGGGGTAACATGCCATTCTAAAGCATGGCTAAGCTTATTCTTCTACGGTATTCGGCCTGCCCATAACGAACCGGAGCACCTCATTGCGTATCAAGTTGTCAACATACCATACCCTTTTAATTGAGCAACCTTGTGCAGTGTTGCAGTAATGCAGATGCAGCCTTGAGCCAGGAGATGCCTGAAAGATGCATGCATATCGTGCCATGCCATCTTTCTCGAATAATGTCAGCCCATAATGTCAGTCCTTACAGTGTGCAGCGCAGTGCAGATTCCATTATCCGTCTAACTGTAAACTATATACCGTAAGAAAAATTGAGCATATACAGATCATTTAGGTCATCAGGCAGAGGCTGCAGGTGGATGCAGTTGTTGTAATTGAGCTTCCTCAGTCTTCTAAGCTGAGCGAAACCAGGAGGAATCAGCCTGATTCTGGTGTGGCTGACATCCAGCTCACACAGGCAGGATAGCTGTGTGAGAGAAGCAGGGAGACGCGTGAGGGTTGAGCAGTGAGATAAGTTGAACTTGCGCAGTCTTGGGAATGACCCAATGGCGTCCGGAAGGGAGGACAGCTTCGGCGCGAGGATCTGGACGGATGTGAGGTGGTGGAGAGCGGTGATGGCCGCAGGCAGCTCTGTGAATTCCTCTCGCCAGGTGATGAGGTTGAGCTGCCATAGCTCCAGCAATCCCCAGCCGTCGGATCCCACCAGATCGTTCACACTGCGGATCTCCTTGAGTGTCAGGGTGCGTAGGCAAGGCAGCCTTGTCAACGCGGGCAGAGCCTCCCCTGCCTCTTCAGCCAGCACTAGCTGCAGGTGCGTCACACCAGAAAGTCGCGCACAGATGGTCTCAACACAGGCTGCACCCACAGTGCCCAGGCACAGTTCCTTTAGAGCTGTGAGCGCTGAAACGTCTGGCAGCGACCCCCCTTGCTGGTTGTTCTCGTAGGACAGAACCTGGAGGCTGAGAGGCAGAGCCTCCGGGGCTTGGTTCAGCATCCAGCACTCCCTTAGCTCTAACTGCGTGAGCCGGGTTAGGCTGTCCAGCCTCCTGGGAACCGAGGAGAGAACGTGACACTCCTCAATCCGCAGCACTTCAAGGCTGACCAGCGCGGATACCAACTCCGGAAGCTCGTTCAAAGCCGGGCAGTTCTGAATGTACAGCTCCTGCAGGTTTGTCATCTCTGCCATACCCTCTGGAAGATCAGCAATTGCGCACTGATCCAGCTCCAGCCTGGTCAATGAAACCAGCTGCGTGAATGAGAGCGGCAGCTGCGCTTGGCTGTTCTTGTTCAGGTAGAAGGTTTGGAGGCTGGAGAGGTTACCCAAGTCTTCCGGAAGGTCCAGGGTGGGTGACCAAGCCAGGCTGAGCGTCCGGAGTGTTGTGAGGCATCCGAACCCTGCAGGTAGCTCCTCCATCCCCTCACATTCTATGAGGAAAAACGTCTCCAGAGATGCGAGTCTGGTGAAGGACGCAGGGAGGTGGAGGAGCGGTAGTCTGCGCAGCACCAGGGCTTTCAAGGCGGGGAGATTCCCAAAGTTTGCGGGCAGAAAAAACACGCTGCATGTGGAAATGGTGAGGCTCTCCAGGCAGGTGAGGGAGGTGAAGTCGTCGGTCAGATCCGTGAGACTTCTGCAGTGAAGGAGGATGAGCTGTTGGAGGCGCGGCAGCAGCTGTCCGATACTGTCTGGAAGGCGCTCGTGAGGAGAGCAATCGCTCAGCTGCAGCCGTTTCAGCAGCCTGTACGGCGGCGTTTCGAGAGGAAAGAAGACGCTGAAGGGTGCTCTGAACAGCCCGAATTTGAGCGACTCGAGAAAAGGCAGCTCGGCGAATGAGAAGGTAGGCGGATCTGCTGAGGCCACGCGGATTCCATCAGGCAGGGAGAGGCGGGTGAGGCTGGTGAGTTGAAGGAGGTTTGAAAGCTGGTCGTAGTGAAGGGAGGAAGAGGAGGTTTCAATGGAGACGTCAGTGAGGGTTGAAAGGGAGCTGAGATCTGGAGATTTTAAGATGAACGCAGTGGTTAAGAAGAGTGTGCGAAGATGTTGCAGCTGAAAGAAAGAAGCTGGCGGGTTCAGGTTTTCTTGAAGGCAATGCAGCGACAGCTGCTCCAGTTGAGGGCAGAGACGGAAAAGGTTATCCAAGCCAGATTCCGTTATCCTGTAGTCATCCCTTTCGTAAAGTCCCTCGCCCGGTTCAATCGTCAGCTTCCCCACGTAAAGAGCTCTCAACCCAGGGCACGACGCGGCGAGGTCAGCCAGAAACGCGTCGTCGAGAGTTTCAACGCTACCATCCTCCAGGTGCAGATGCGTCAGATTCGGAAAGCAAGCGACGGCGTTGATCGCATCGCGGTGCGACACGACGCGACCTGCCTTGACGACAAGCGACGACACGTGCCTCTGCGCGAGACGCCGCCAGCGGCGGCAGACCGACGCGATGAACAGGCCGTGAGCGGCATCTGCGGAGCTAGCAGGAATCGGTAACGGAGTGTCTCTTAGCGCGCACCAGCGCTCGTCTGGAAGCGCGTGCGCGTAGAGGAACTTCGGCCTGGGCGTCACAGACTTCCATAGTTTATCGCTGTCGGATCGGCAAGAGCGGCGCGACTGTTTGGACGGCCATAGGATTCTAAGGAGGACGTCGTCGAGAAGATCGTGGATGTGGGTTGTACTAGAAGCCATAATTTACAGCCGTGTGCAGTAACTCGCGGCTGAAGCGACGTTCGAAACAGCCTCGCTAGAGCTAAATGGCTTCGACTCCTCCACAAGTGCAGAAAATAGGCTCGAAGGACTGAGAATGTTCCTTCCTGAGTGAGAGAACCCCAGCTAGAAGACACTCCAGCCTCCCAAGGCCAGCTGGAAGAGATCAGGGCGATGTTCGGCAGCACAGGGGATCCACCGAGGGATGGAGGGGGGGGATCGAAATTCTCAGCTAGGGTTTCTAGTTCGGGGTGGTCAACTCGGAGTCAACCAACGTTGACTCCAAGTCGGGGGTCCAGGCGTAAGCGGAACCTTTGGGGGAAAAGGCGCGGATGAGCGACGCGGGAATTGGGGGCCCACGAAACTGCAGCCGCACGAAACGAAACTTCGCGAGCTGAACAGTTTTTCTTCTCCCTGCCTCATTTACTGTTGCGATGGGATTGGGTATATCACTTCACGAAAACATTTCACACCATAAACTAAAATGGATGCCCTAAATGTCGTACTCACCCATTTGACCTTATTGGATACAACTGGATTAGGGATACATTTCCGATTTCCGTTTTACCCGCCAGTTTAGAGTGTGGGGAAAAATCATAAAACAATTTCGTGGTAGAGGGAATCCATTTTACATCCCTCGTAAATGAGGCCATTCACGGGAGTGCAATTTGGATTCCTTGGGCACTAGGGCGGATTTTCTCCGCCATGGGGGAGGTTTTGGGGGAGGATGCGGCGCGGGTTACAACCTAGCGTGGTGTTCGCGTCGCGTTTTAGGCTTACGCTCGACATTTTTTTGATATTTTTCTAGCCTGACCGAATTGTTTTGCCTGGTTCGTACTGGTCGAGCCTGGAGGGTCGCCATTTTGATCCCCCATCAAACCCCCTCCCCTGGCTGCCGAACATCGCCCAGAGGCGTGTCCCACGAGTTCGTTTTCAGCCCATGAATTACTACTTTTCAGACTGGTAGGTCACGGTTCAAAGCGGTAAAGTTGAAACACCGCCCTTACACGTACAGAACCCTTTTCCACCGCAGATATTGAACCAAGAGAAAACTCGTGGACCTGGCCGGAGGTTCACTGAGGAGACGGCTCTCTACTAACGGATAGTTCACTAACAGAGAGATCGTTTGGGGTAGAGATGGGTCAAGAAAAAGCAGGAGGGGCAGCAAAAATCATATTAAAATCATGTTACTTGTTTGTAGAAATCATCCCCGCCGACAATGCAAGTCGCTCCTTTGCGCCCAAGGCATCATCTCCAAAGCTTCTCTCTGTGCAACTTTCCTCTCAGAGCAGTAGGTGCGAATGGAGGCTGTTAACAAGAATGAAGTGTTGGCCCCGCCCTCGCTTGGGCAACGCCGACAACTTGGTCGGATGTACGAGAGTACCAGCCGACCGTTCACAGTGGGAGAGCTGTTCGACAGGCTTCGTCGAGCTGCAGGGGACCGCTGTGGTGTTGCTGTCGACCAGGGAGCTCGACAGCTGCAATTGACTGGTCTAGGCGACGGGTGGGCCGTCGACCAGGAGGGGCAGTTCGACCGGGAGGTCGACGGAGCAGTCCGACGACCTGCAGTTCGACCGGGAGGTCGAGGAGCAGCTCGTCGACCTGCAGTTCGACCGGGAGGTCGACGGAGCAGTCCGCCGACCTGACAACTGGGCAGCGGTCGACGAGGGGAGCTCGGCGACAACCGCTGACGGTTCTGGTCGACGGAAGGGGCCCGTCGACTAGGGGGTAGCTCGACGGGAGCTGTGGTCGACCGAGGGCACCTGGTGGTCGACCAGAGGCACCTGGTGGTCGACCAAAGGCAGTGGTGGTCGACCGGAGCACATGGTGGTCGACCAGGTCAACCGGATAACCTGCTCGACGAGTTCCGCGGAGGCTCGCGAACGTCGTCGAGGTCCCGATGGCGAAGGGGACTGCAAGCTGGTATCCAGAAGTCGATGTGGCTCGTCAGGCGCAGACATCAGCCGACGTATGCCCAACAAGGCAAGTCGGGCCAATCATCTGCGTGCACCTGCGAGCGTGCGCACTACTGTGTTCTACGGGGCAACGCTGGACAGCCGCTCTGCTGCAGCGTTGGCACGCCGTCGACCTGCTCTGTTGGCAGGTCGCCTTTCCGCAATGCTGGCGCGGCTCCTCTACGCAACGCTGGCAGGCGGTCGACCAAGCTGTGCTGGTGGTCGACCAGGTTAGCTCCAAAGCTGCTAGGTTCCTGATGTAGTCATTCTTGCCATTGTGAACTTGATCATTCTGGATTTTTTCGACTTTGCTAGTGGAAACTCTTGCCGATTTCTCCCGTGATTGTGCAAGCACCAAGGAACTAGGCAAAGCTACGATTACTCCTAGAAGTTCGTGCCAACCCCCCCCCGTAGTCTAGCTTACTACCTTTGTGGAATGACTCTCCGCATGGTGCGGTGAGCGTGGACGGCCCCGCAAATTACCTTCAGATAGGAGCCGACTTTTACACCTACTAAGTCGTTCGTAGGCCGGCAGCAGCGTTAGTCGCCATGGTCGACCCCGTAGTTGATGCGGGCGTAGCGGACACCTTGGAGGCATGTTTGGCTGACGCGAGGAGACGCCAAGCGGATGGCGAGTACGGGACGATCCCCTTGGTGATCACCGAGTTGGGCTTACGGTCGCAGTGGGCGACGGAACACCCTTCCCGTCCTGCATCTCCTCGACCGGTGCGCAACGAAGGTGGCGTCGACGACGAGGTCGTCGGTGGTGCACGAGTCACTAGCAGCGAAGGCACGAGGCAGAGAGGGGTGATTAAGGTCGATGGTGGTGTCAACGGAATCCAGGCGCGAGTGCAGCGATCGACGACGGCTGCAGGCAGCTCACACGCTGACGTCGATGTTCGACGTCGCTCTCCTCTACGAAGCGGTGGAGGGCTCTCGGTGACGACGCATGTGACTAGAGGCGGGATTACACTGGCGTATGGCTACTTCAAATTCTTGCCAGACCGGATCACCGTCGCACCGCTGCAAGGTCGACGGGACCTCATCACTTGGAGGGAGTCGATAGAACCTCAGTTGGAGATCGCTGGGCTGAAGGGCTTCGCTGACGGCACCGTACCAATTCCGCGCGTGGGCGATGTCGAGCTGCGTGGGGAGTTTCGTGCGGCTCACTTGCTCACCTTCATGGCAAGGTTCAAAAGTACGGTCGTTTCTTGGGAAAGTTATGGTAAAAAACGGTTTCGAATAATAGGCTCCTGTGAGAAATCGTTGAGCAATTTCAAAAAAACGACCATATTTTTTAACCTTGCTTCATGGTCATCTCGAGGTGCTGCTCGCCGGTGGTGCAGCTCGCTCAGGAGTTGTCGAGAGCAACTGGATGCTGGTCATCAGGCGTGGCACTTAATCCTGTCGACGTACCAAGTCAGGGACGACCTGTACATCGAACACCTGGAGGAGAAGATGACACACATTTGGATGGGTGAGCAGGAATCAGCGACGGACTACTGCAACTGTGCTCGACGGATCCTGGCTGAGATGCGGATGGCGGGCGCCGAATACTCGACGCGCAGCTACAATCTCATGAAGAGGATGATGATGGTGCCCGGCATGCGTGAGTCCCTCGACGAGGACTCCATCACCAGCTACATCCTTCAAGACGAGGCGATGCAGGAGGCCGAACAGCCCACGAAGCTCCTTCCGCGGGCAAACTACGCTGCACCAAAGAAGCTGAATCAGCAACAAGGGCAGCGTGGGAAGCTGGGCGGAGGTGGTAGCGGAGGTGGGCGGTCGACGAGGGACGTCGACGAGAGGAGGTCGACACGGGACAAGGGCCGTGGAGGTGGTGGTCGTCGGCAGGAGTGCTGGATCTGCCACGACCCCGACCACCTTTCTTACGAGTGCCCCGACCGTGACGAAAGCGACGAGGACGACAGCAAGGGAGGCCATGGCCAGTCAACCACCCGTCGCCCCTGTCGAGATGCACAGCCGCGCAAGGAGAAGCAGACGTTGAAGAAGACGTCGTCGACGAAGGACCTTGACAACTCCAGCGGTAAGGGCCGAGGCGACGGGGAGGCGTCGTGCTCGATGGTCGGCGTGGTGGAGCCGACAATCTCGCTGGCACCGGAGGTTGGCGAGGACTTCCGGGCTGTGTCGGCAGCTGTGTTGGCCAACCTGATGGCGGTGCTGCTCGACAGCGGGTGCTCCCACCACCTGATGTGGACGAAGGCGGTCTTCATCGACATGGCGCCGAGCGACGGAGTGAAGCACGTGCATGGATTCAACGGGGCGCTGCAGCCTGTCGAGGGTCGCAGAACCGTCACTCTACAAAGGGAGGCCGGGAAGAAGGTCCTCATCCCCGACGTGCTCTACGTTCCGGGCGTATAGGCGAACCTGCTGTCAGCTGGCCAACTGAAGGAGAGTCGAGTCCAGTTGCAGGGTGACGGCGACGAGATGCTGCTCGTCGCCGTGACCAGGGAGGTGCTCGGTCAAGCACGCTACACCGGACGAGTCCTTTGCACCGACCTTCGCCGCTGCTCGACGCGGTCGCCGTCGACCGAGGTGGTGGCTCTGCGGACGATCGTCTCGGTGACGAAGTCGACCCAACGGTTGCATGTGAGGCTCGCGCACGTCGGCGTCAACACGATCAAGAGCTCGGCGAAGCATGAAGTTGCAGTTGGCCTCGACATCACGCTGTCGACTGGAGCAGACCCGCCGTATGCCTCGTGCGTCGGAGGAAAGCTGGTGCGGCACACCTTCCCCGACAAGGGCTCGGACGCCGAGGAGGCATTAGCTGTCGTGCACATTGACTTGTGCGTGCCATTTCGGGTGGCTGCCAACGATGGCAGCTTGTACTTCCTGCTGCTGAAGGGTCGCCATACTCGGTTCGTGTGGGCAATGCCGGTCGCTAAGAAGAGCGACGTATTGCGGGAGTTCCAGAAGTGGTTGGTGCTGGTGGAACGGCAGACAAAGAAGTCGGTGCTGACGCTTCGCTCAGACCGGGGAGGGGAGTTCCTCGGAAAGGATTTCACC